CCTGCCCCGCCATTCAATAAGATCATGGCTGATCTTTTTGAGACTCAGCTCCACTTACCTGCCCACTCACCATAACCCTTAATTCCTTTACTGTTCAAAAATTTATCGAGCCTTGCCTTAAACACATTCAGCGAGGTAGCTTCAACCGCTTCATTGAGCAGGGAATTCCACAGATTCACAACCCTTTGGGTGAAGAACTTCCTCCTCACCTCAATCCTACATCTGCTTCCCTTTATTTTGAGGCGATGCCCTCTAGTCCTAGTTTCACCTGCTAGCGGAAACAACCTCCCTGCCTCCACCTTATCTATTCCCTTCATAATCTTATATGTTTCTATAAGATCTCCCCTCATTCTTCTGAATTCCAAGGAGTATAATCCCAGTCTACTCAGTCTCTCCTCATAATCCAACCCTCTCAACTCTGGAATCAATCGAACGAATCTCCTCTGCACCCCGTCCAGTCAAGTAAGGAGATCAAAACTGCACACAGTCCTCCAGGTGTGGCCTCACCAGGACCCTATACAGCTGCAGCATAGCTTCCCTGTTTTTAAACTCCATTCCTCTAGCAATGGCAGACAAAATTCCATTTGCCTTTTTAATTACTGCTGCACCTGCAATCCTACCTGCGATTCATGTACAAGGACACCCAAGTCTCTCTGCACAGCAGCGTGCTGCAATTTTTTACCATTTAAAACATAGTCCATTTTGGACTTGAAACTTGAAACCTATTAATGCATTTGGAAAGAAGTACAAAACCACCCAGCCACAGGTCCTCTTCAATGGGAACCTCCTTTTGTCCACATACCTGTATCAATATCATCATAGATCTCACCGTCCCCTTCTCTGTTTCTAAAAAGAAAAAGAAAAAATATTTTAAATTGATGTTTGCATTAAAATGCTAAGATCAGTGATATGTAGCTGTTCTTTCTTTGGCTCAATCTTTTGAAGAAGGCTCATCGAACTCAAAATGTTATCTCAACTTTCTCCCCACAGATGCTGCTAGACCCACTGAATTTTTCCAGCAATTTCTGTTTCTGTTTATGAACTTCCTGTCATCCAAATTCTGATAGTTTGGTCATTCCATCTCTACAATTATTTGTAAAATCACCAATCTTTTTTTTCTTCACTGCTTAAATACATATCTGAAAATTGGAGAAAACAATTTTGGATTAGAGTTCTGAGTTTGGCCTGAATTGCTATGAATATTGCTCAAACATTCATCTGGCTGAATTCCTGTCTGTGACTAACTTTTGCTGTCAAAAGTAGATGCGCGGTAGGATGATATGTCTTATGGTCACTGTGGTCTCTTGGAACTCTTTTTATTGCCTTTGAGGATCGTAAAAATATTTCGCAGAATTCCTTTCACTCTAAATTGGCCTAGGATTCTTTTATCTGCCTTTCCCAGTTGATTATGTGACTTCTGGTGAGCAAACAGCTTTGAAGGTCATGATACTTAGTTGTAACATGCCTTTATGGGACAGGCTCAATAGACCAGCTGGTTTCTCCTGTCCATCAGTTTTATACGTTCATATGATTCATTGACTACTTTGCTGTTAAGCAGCAGTAACTGTTTAACTGCAGACTGGGTTATTTTTGGCTAATTTTTATTTCAAATAATGACTGTGGGTTTGAATGACAAACTAAGTATGAAAGCATTGGTTTTGTATGTAGTGGTTATATATGAATGGTCCAGTTGTGACTTTTCAACTATTTAGGGGTATGGTTGCATAATGGTTATGTTACTATATTAGTTGTACAGAAATCTGGATTAGTAATGCAACAACACTCAAGAAGCTTGAGACCATCCAGGACAAAGCAGCCCCCTTCACTGGCACCACATTCACAAACATCTATTCCCTCAATCGCTGACTCTCAGTAGCAGCAGTGTGTACTATCTACAAGATATATTGCAGAAATTCACCAAAATTCCTCAGCCATCACCTTCCAATTTATTCTATCTAGAAGGACAAGGGCAGCAGATACATGGGAACGCCACCAGCAGCAAGTTCCCCTCCAAGCTACTCACCATCCTGACTTGGAAATATATTACTGTTCCTTCAGTGTTGCTGGGTCAAAATCCCAGAATGCCCTCCCTAATGGCATTGTGGGTCTACCTACAGCATGTGGACTGCAGTGGTTCAAGAAGGCAGCTCACCACCACCTTCTCAAGGGGCAAATAGGGATGGGTAATAAATGCTGGACCAGCCAGTGACACCCGCATCCTACAAATGAACTAAAAGAAAATACAGCTGGGATTAGTGAATTCCTGTTTATGCTATATGATTTGAATGGTCACGGAAACTACAGGGGACATCAGTGCTTGCCTTCCTTTTATGTGATAGCCAGGGAACACGAGAGACAGTGTCAGAGAAAGCTAGCTAACAACAGCCACATTGTAACTCAATAAATAACAGAATAGAAAAAGAAAACAATGATTTAATTCCAGGAAGGCAGACTAAATGATTGAAGGGCAGAAACTATTAGCTGGATTAGGTAATGAATGTAAATGTAACATTAGTGATATAATTAGGAGACTCCAGAATAAATACATTCAACCCAACAATTGCCAAGAGGATGAACCAGCACCAGTCCTTCATATTACTACCAATCAATGACAGGACAAATCCCACAATTTCTTCTAAGAGTGGTAACGTAACAGCTTTGCCATTCACATATTGGCAGTCAATGTTCAACATTCAACAGCAAGACCACAAGTTGCTTTGTTATTTTGTTGTATTAAGTATATTTTCTAATTTGCTATTACACCATTAATATTTATCTACATTGTACTTTCTTCCTTAAGTGTTGTGATTATTCTTGCTTTTATATTTGAGAGCTTCAGAAGACCTGTCAAGGTCAGCTGCTATTTAAACTGTGGGGAATGAACCTTCAGTTTCCATTTGTTCAAAAACATTAAACAGAAAAATCCCATAGGAAAACACCTTTAATAAATTATCAAAGGCTAACAGAAAGTTTGAAGAGAGAGCCAACCACCAGGAGCCTTAAAGAAGGAATCACAGTATTCGCGTATTGCAACAAATACTCACCCTAATGCTAAGTTGATTTTTTGAACATATCCAACTGTTTTGTTTTGGGGGAGAAAAAGAGTCCAGTTAGTATTCATATAAAACAAAGCAGATTCATAAATGCTGTTGCTGCATTGAAATAGAAACTGTTAGAAAAAAAGATCTTTCGAAATCAAAGCCAGACACAGCAGGGTGGATTTTAATGTTACTTGCCTGGGAGAATGAATAGTTACTGTCACTGGGGACCGACTTCCTGCTCTTATCTAATTTAACCTGCTCACCAACAATTGGTGGGAAGGATGTCCACAGGAAACAGGTGGGGTCCTGTCAGTATGCTGTTTGGGTTCTGGCGCTGTGGTGACATCTCTTCAGTTCTTGAGTTGTGACCTGAGCACAAAAGAGGTTGTGGCTTTTCAGTCAGAGCAACCCAATGGGGGGATAAAAAGAGTCAGGGGCCAAAATAAGGTGGATTTTAAATTTTTTGCCACTCCTCATTGAGTTGGGAGGATTTACTCCAGAAGTCTCCCTCTCTGCCTTAAAAGGGCAGATGAGCTGCAGACAATGCGTCCATCCCTAATGCAGCAGTCCACCTTACAATTCACATCACACCCCAGTGGAATGTAGAATGGGGTGTCTGGCCTTGTGAGGCAAGGGAGGAGAAAAGTGGACAAAAGCTCTGCTCTAACATTCTTAGATTGGTTGAATTGGTTTTAGATTTAAGGGTTAAAGAAAACAATTAAAAATAGATTTCCTCGTGTCATCGGTGTTCCATTTTCCTTTCTCTTTTGATCTTTTAGGTGAAGAATATTAATATTAATAAAAGGGTATTGACAAAGTAGAAATAGACAGGATGTTTCCTCATGTGGAGCAATCTAGAATGAGAGGGCATAGTTTTAAGATAAGGGATAGTAGATTTAAAACAGAGATCAGGAGAAATTACTTCTTTCAGAGGGTCATGGAATTAACTATCCCAGAGTGTAGTGGATGCTGGGACATTGAGTAAATTGAAGGACTTAATAGACAATTTTTAATTAGTAACATTTTGAACGGTAATGTACAGTGGGCAGGAAAGTGGAGTTGAAGCCAAGATGAGATTAACCATGGAGATAGTAGGAACTGCCGATGCTGGAGAATCTGAGATAACAAGGTGTAGAGCTGGATGAACACTGCAGGCCAAGCATCATCAGAGGAGCAGGAAAGCTATGTTTTGGGTTGAGACCCTTCTTCAGAAAAAATAAAATTGATCATTTTAAATGATGGAACAGACTTGAAGGGCTGAATTGCTTTCTCCAGCTCTTAATTCTTATGTTCAGTGAAGGATATTAATATGAATCATCTGTAAAACATGTTAAATTCATTAATAACATTATTTACATTCTAACTTTTAAAAATGGCTTATTGGTGACAAAGCCTTGCCCTTCATTGAAGCTTCCTCAGTTGATTATACTTAAGTATTGCTGATAAACACCAGATTTTGTTGAAGACTTTCATTTTGAGTACAATATGCCTTTTTTCAGCAATACTCAAGCTCTGTGCTATCACAGGACTATATAATGATGTTTTCCATTATCTGCCCTACCCAGAGAGAACAGTAATATTGTGGATCTCATCACTGCTTTCAGTTGGAAAATATTAATCTTTGACTCATTCCTCTTCCCCTGTTTCCTTTGAGTTCACTGTCCTCCCATATTCTTTAAACTCTCCCTCAATATAAACTTTCCAGTACCTACTCGCAGCCATCTACATGGCCTCGCTCCTCTTGTAGTCTCTGGCCATTTACTCCTTATATCACAGAATTGTTACAGCGCAGAACAATACCATTCACTTCACTGTGTCTGTACTGGGTCTCCAAATAACCATTATGATTTCCTGCCATTCTCTTGCCTTTTCACTGTAACATTGGGCTGATTCTTAAAAGAAGTCAGCTAAGTGGCAATTTTGTAGAATTTATTGGAGGATTTCACTCTGCAAGGCCTGCGTGTTTTCTCATCTTATTGTCCCAAACTCACCATGCAGCCTGCCTCTATAGTGCCTCGCTCATATTCTTCCACCTGAAAATTATATGTTAACTATTACTTTCTGTTTCCTATTACTTAGCCAATTTGGTATTCATGTTGCTATTGCCCATTTATTCCCTGGACTGTAACTCTGCCCACAAAAAACAGTGTGGCACTGTATCAACACCCTTTGGAAGTCCAAGTACACCTCACCAACAACATTACCACCAACCCTCTCTATTGTCTCTTCAAAAAACTCCAGCAACTTAATTAAACATGATTTTCTCTTCAGAGATCTATGCATGACTCTCTTTGTTTAACCCATGTTTGTCCATCAAATTATTAATTCTATCGCAAATTATTCTTTCTTGAAGTTTCCTCACCAGCATAGTTAAACTGACTGGTCTGAAATCACTGGGCTTATTGTTTTATCCTTTTTTGAACAAATGTACAGTATTGTAATTCTCTAGTCCTCCTGCACCAGCCTGAGGCTAAGGAAGATTGCCTCCTCAATTTCCATTCTCACTTCCTTCAAACTCATTCGATGCATCTCATCCACGGATCCACTCTAACCTTATCTCTGTAAATGCTAAACCTACAGCCCTTCTAGATATCTATGCTTTTTCAATTATGGCTTGTTGCAGAAGACAGAAAGGAGACAGCGGGCTTGGTGTCATGGTGCAATGACAACAATGTCTCTCTCAATGTTGGCAAAACAAAAGAACTGATCATTGACTTCAGAAAGACAAGGGGAGAACACGCCCCCATATATATCAACAGAGCGGAGGTTGAGAGGGTTAAGAGCATCAAGTTCCTAGGAGTGACAATAACTGAAAACCTGTCCTGGACTTGCCACGTGGATGTGACGATTAAGAAAGTGCAACAACGCCTCTTCTTCCTCAGGTGGCTTAGGAAATTTGGCATGTCCATAAGGCCTATCAGTGACTTTTATAGATGCACCTTTGAAAGCATTCTCTCTGGGTGCATAACGGCCTGGTACGGCAACTGCTCTGCCCAGGAGCGTAAGAAACTACAGAAGGTGGTATGCTCACCTCCCATCCATAGACTCTATTTACACTTCTCACTGCCATGGAAAGGCTGCCAGCATCATCAAAGACCCCTCCCACCCCGGCAATGCTCTCCTCTAACCTCTTTGGTCAGGCAGAAGATACAGAAGCCTGAACACATTCACCAGCAGGTTCAAGAACAGCTTTGCCCCACTGTTATGGACTCTTTAACTTCAAATAATGTTGATCTTGTTAATGTTGATCATGCATCGTGCACCTCCTGTGTAGTGTATGCCTCACTCTAGGCATCCTATGATCTGTATGTCCTTGTTTACTATAATCTGTCTGTGCTGCTTGCAAACAAAGCTTTTCACTGTATTTAAGTATACGTGACTACAATAAATCAAATCAAATCAAAAATTGCTAATCCCAATTTTCTCTGCCCTTTATTGGCTTTTAGGTGCTTAAGTTCTAAGCTCTGGAATTTCTTTCTTTAACTGCTCTGTCTTTCTCCCCCTCTTTTATATGAGTTCACAATGTTCCTCCATGCCTTAAGCCTGTCCTTTAATATAAATTGTCCAAACGATTCAGTGCCATCTTTAACATCACCATCTCACATGGCTTTAATCATCTCATAGTCTTAATCACCTGTCAAACCACCTCCCCACATCTACCATGCCTATTGCTCCATTGTTTAAGATGGTCCCTGAGATCTACTAGAAGTCACCTGTCTCAATACTTCTTATTTTTGGCTTACTGTCCAATCTTGTTTGATGAAGCTCCCTGTGAGGTAGATGCATGTTATGTCAGGTGAAGGTCCTTAAATAAAACTGTCTCTAATTAAAGTCTACTAGACTTGTACATGAAGAATGAACACAGGACTGAGGTATCACAATGAACAATATCGGAGCATAAATTGCAGCCATGGCATCATGGAATGGTTCCTGCACAGAAAGAGGCCATTCAGCCACTTGCATGCCTTTTCTCCATTTCCTTGCAATTTCTTTTTCAAATAAAAGCGTGTGCAATTTTGGAAAGCCTCAACTTATTCAGTTCCATCACACCTCATTGTTCGCTGTGTGAAAAAGTTTCTTTCATGTTTCCATGCTTTTTTTTAACCAGTTGCCTTATATCAGTGCTCTCTGGCTTTTGATCCTATATTGATTTAACATCATTTCTTTGCTTTTATATTTGATGATCCTACTGATAAAAGCTAGGATGTCATATGCTTTATTAACTGCTCTTCCAACCTGCCTATCTACCTTTGGAGTTTTACATACATGTAGAGCCTGGTCCCTCTGCTCTTGCATACATTGCTTTATGCTGTCTCTTCATATTCTTTCAACCAAAATGAATCATATCACACTTCTCTGCATTAAATTTCAACTCTCACTTGCCCGCCCTTTCCAGCAACCTGATTTTTTTTTTGAAGATTTACTCTATCTTCCTCATAGTTCACAGTTCCGAACAATTTTATAACTGTGCTTTTTATACCAAAGCCCAGGTCATTAATATAGATCAGAAACAGAAGATGTTCTAACACCAATCACTGGGGAACTCCACTATAACTTCCTCCAGGGGAGTAAGGGGGGCAATTGGTACATATCCATTATTCCTCAAGTTCTCAATAAAAGTACAAGATTCTGTTTCTTTAATAGGAACTTACATTTCCCTTCTTCATTCCGACAAAGCAGTTTTGTGTTATCAGTGTGCTGTATAATGTCTAACACTTCGCCTGCTTTCACTGGCAGCTCACGGTTGGTCCACTTTTTTACAGTTAAGTCCTGGACAACCTCAACAGTTCCGAGAACTCGTATTTCTCCATCATACTGAAGTGGAAAGAAACAAAACAGAATGTAGTCAAAATACTTTAAAAGCTAAAATAAAAAATCACAAGTGAGTAAAAAACTCATTTCAATGACATCGATTATGTGCTTATGACACCAGTCAACCAGTTACGTGATTGTTGATGTGCACTCCTCATGCCCTTGATTTCCTGAGGAACCAATAATCTAGCATTCAATGGGAGGATGAAGAAAGTGTTGCAAAGACACTCAGACCATGAAGCATAGCAGCATTGAAATTAATAGAACATAGGACAGTTACAGTACAGCCAGTACAGGCCGTTCGGCCCATGATGTTGTGCCAATCTATTATCCTAATCTAAGATCAAAGTAACCTGCATACCCTTCATTTTACTATCATCCATATGCCTATCCGAGAGTCACATTAATGTCCCTAATGTATCTGACTCCACTCCCACCATAGGCAACGCAGTCCACGCACCCACCACTCTCTGTGTAAAGAACCTGCCTCTGACATCTCTCCTCTACCTTCCTCCAATTACCTTAAAATTATGCCCCCTTGTGATAGCCATTTCCGTCATGGGAAAAAATCTCTGGCTATCCACTCTATCTATGCCTTTCATCATCTTGTACACCTCTATCATGTCACCACTCATCCTTCTTTGCTCCAATGAGAAAAGCCCTAGCTCCCTCAACCTTTCCTCATAAGACCTGCCCTCCAGTCCAGGCAGCATCCTGGTAAATCTCCTCTACACCCTCTCTAAAGCTTCCTCATCCTTCCTATAATGAGGCAACCAGAACTGAACACAATATTCCAAGTGTGGTCTAACCAGGGTTTTATAGAACTGCAGCATAAACTCGCAGCTCTTAAACTCAATTCCCCTGCCAATGAAAGCCAATACTCCATATGCCTTCTTAACAACCCTATCAACTTGGGTGGCAACTTTGACGGGTCTATGGACATGGGCCCCAAGATCCCTCTGTTCCTCCACACTGCCGAGAATCCTGCCATTAACCCTGTATTCTGCACTCAAATTCAACCTTCCAAACTGAATCACTTCACACTTTTCCGGGTTGAATTTCATCTGCCACTTCTTTGCCCAGCTCTGCACCCTGTCAATGTCTTGCTACAACCTACAACCGTCCTCCACACAGTACACAACTCCACCAACCGTCGTGTCATCGGCAAACTTACTAACCCACCCTTCCACTTCCTCATCTAAGACGTTTATAAAGATCACAAAGAGCAAGGGTCCCAGAACAGATCCCTGTGGAACACCACTGGTTACCGAACTCCAGGCTGAATACTTTCCAGCTACTACCACCCTCTATCTTCTATTGAACAGCCAATTCCATATCCAGACAGCCAAATTTCCCTGAATCCCATGCCTCCTTACTTTCTGAATGAGCCTACTATGCTAGGAGGAGTTTGCTACTGACCATTCAAAGTGGTGACAACTTGTCAATGAAGATGCATAGATGATGTTATCCAGCAGGGTAATGAAACGTGTACAAACTAATGAACCAGCTCGGCGAGTGAACCAACGACAGTATCAATGAAGCTGCTTAGAGTCCAATTTTAGTGAGGTAAAGTGGTGATGGAGAAGGAAAGAAATGGAAGCAAATCCTGCTCTCTGGATCCCACTGCCTTATGGCACACCGACCCCCTGTGCCCAAAGATCTGCAGATCGCGAATCAGCTGGTACAGTTACATGAAGATCCACAGTAGCACTTGCAACCCTGAGAAGATGTGAACCCTTAATTGATGATGTTGGTGGGGGAGACTTCATCCATATGTCGGTTATCCTCTCAGTGGAGTGCTAGAGTTTATAAACTAGATTTATATTTCACTGACAAACAGAGGGATGCTGAGTGTACAAGTGATTACCCTTTGAAAGAGAAAAAAAAAGTGAACTGAGTCTGTATTAAAAGCTGTCAAATAAGTACTTAAATTTGGCCAAAGTGGCATAAGAGCTCAAAAAAGCATTCAGTTCTGAAGGAGAATCATACTTGACTTGAAATGTTAACTCTGTTTCTCTGTCCACAGATGTTGTCAGACCTACTGAGTTTCTCCAGTATTCTCAATAGAGAGTCATAGATGCACTACAGTGTGGAAACCATGCCATTTGGCCCAACAAGTCCCCACCAACCTATTTCCCTTGGCTAACACATTTAGCCTATACATCCCTGGCCACTATGAGGCAGTTTAGCATAGCCAATCCACCTAACTTGCACATCTTTGGATTGTAGGAGGAAACCAGAGCAAACCCACACAGACACGGGGAGAATGCGCAAACTCCACACAGACAGTCACCTGAGGGTGGAATCGAACCCAGGTCCCTGGCGCTGTGAGGCAACAATGCTAACCACTGAACCACCATGCCACCCAAATCCTGATCTTTCCTCCATTGTGGGATGGTATAGGAACAAGAGCCAGTGCAGTTTCTATAGCACCTTGGGGAAAGAATCATTCTTTAGGGAATTTCATTCAGACATCCTCCCTTGGAAACAGGCTCCCTGGGTTGTGGCAGATGGGCTTTTGAAGCTAAAGCACCAATCAGAGGCCTTTCAATCTGAGTAGAAGAAGCTACAGCAGAAATTACGTAACTGAGAGGACATCACTGTGGAGATATTCACTTGCCAAATTTTTAATCAAATGCTTGAATAAAAAACGGATTCAGCTGCCACTACTGTTGCAGGATTGATGATGGGAGAATTCCTTTACAGGGTACACTTCACCTGCATCCACAGCCAAACAGGCAATGAGGACCTGCAGGAGGGTGTGACAGCAGATGAGGCAGGTATCAGGACCCAGTGGGTAGCATTCAATAAACCTCAGCCCCCATAATTGTCCAACAGATAGGAGGTTCTCAATTTTAAAATGTTCGAAGTAATTCAATAAGTCCATAACTCACTTTAAATTTTTTCCTGAAGTCTTTTTCCTCTTTCTCCATCCTTTTGTTTCTTTTGGGATCCTTTTCATCCTTTTTGGCTTTTGCAGTTGTTGGTAGTTTTGAGTACTTTGGCAAACTAAACAAAAAGAGAAGATAAATTTGGAGGATTTGATCATTTACCCAAACACTGTGATTTCAGCTTCCTTTGCTGCATCATCCCAACATTCCACTTTCCTTGCATTAGTTTTTATGAGCAGTTCACTGATACCATCATGCACCTTACTTGATTTTGAAGAGCAGATTAACCAGCAATACTTTAAGTTGCAAAGTACTTCTGAATTTATTACACCTTTGGCCTTTCAATTCCTAAATCCCATTGTGGTTCACCAGCTTGATGTTCCCCACAGTAATTGAGATAGAGCAGGGAAAATCAAGCCTGGGTTTGCTGCAACCCCATTGCATTTTTGGTCACTTTTAACCCTGTAAAAATGTAGCTTGGAAAGAGTTATCAGACCTTATGTAGGAGCAAATTAGTGCAGATGTTAGAATCTGTACTGAAAGCAACAAATGCTGGAGATCACAGCAGGATATCCTACTGCTCGCAAGTCCATGTGTCTGTCCTAAGCATGCTGCAATGCTCCAGTGAATCACAGCACAAACTGGAGGACAACACCTCATCTTCAGACGAGGCATTTTACAACCTCCTGGACTCAATATTGAGTTCAACGCCTTCAAATTGTGAACCAACTCCCTTTTCTTCCCTTTCTTTTATCTTTGCTTGCTGCATTCTTTGTCACCATATCCTCTATCCCATGCCCCACTCCAGTGGGACTGTCTTCTCTTCCATTCTCACATTCTGATCACTTAATCTGCACTATCACCATCTTTTCTCCGCCAGCACTCTATACCCACCACTGCCACAACATTCCCCCCATGCCTCCCCCTCCCCCAACTATAGCATAAATGTTGCCCCTTCCACACTTTAGCTCTGATGAAGTCATCTAGACTTGAAATGTTATCTTGCTCTCTCACCATGGATGCTGTCTGACCCGCTGTGATCTCCAGCATTTGTTACTATCAGGCCTTATTGGTGTGGCCATCTCAGTCCATTTCGGTATTGTTGGTTAGGCCATTTGATGCTGTGATGCTTATGCAATGCATGCTCCATGAATCTGTGCATGTATTGCATTCAGGGTAAAGAGACCTGCTGACTGAAACTGGCATGTAAAACCCCAATGGGCCAAACCCTTTCACGCTCATTCCCATCCACCAATAGCCCAGACCCATTTTCATTCATTCCCACTTTATACAATTCCAGTGGACCAAATGTATTAGCATTTATTCCATTTATGAAACCCAAAGACTGAACACAATCATGGGCAGAATTTTCAGACCGTGCTGAGGATGGGAACAGAGGAAGACATGACTCAAGAATATCTGTGCCGGCCAGAGTGCAGGCTTTCCAACACTATTTCCACCTTTAACACATTTCAGTGTGAAGTTTGTTAAAGGCACTGAATAAGAGACCAACTAGGATGCAGTAGCAGACCTCTTAATTGCCTTGACAGAGGCAGACACAGAAAACTGGTGATGGGGAGGGTGGAATGGAACAGCGATGTACCAAGGCCATCTTATAGAGAAACTCCCCCAAAAAGCACCCTCTGGGTTACGTCACTTTTACTGCCAGCCAGCTTCCAAACTGCTGGGAAGTTCCAGCTTCAAGAATCTATCCAGGAAGCTTAGGTGGACAAGGAACTGTGGCAAGTAGTAAAGAGTGCTCCCAGGTAAAATCTTAATTCAAGTGTAATGCGCCCCGTTGTTTGATTACAAATGGACAACAAAGTGGACCATGATGTAAATAGTTTTAAATTGACTCGCTGATAACTTGCAGTTTATTGATGCCTGGATCCAAGACATTTCTTGGCATGGCTTTATGTGATTAGCAGGGACCAACAGCATAAACAAAAGATTGGTTCCCTCACTTTTTTCCATTAACTCATGGAACAACAGATGGTGATTACACTGAATTTTACATGTTTTGTAGTACTGTCACCAGGCATTTGGGAAATGGTGCAACCATTGTTCAAAGCAGAAAAGCTCCACTTCCAACTCCCAGTGTTTCGTGCATTGTTCTGAACTCTGACCAGAAGGCTTGGTTTCAACAATGAGAACCAGGAAGTAGTTACAGCCACTGGGAAATTTAGAGCATAGGATTACGCATGTTTTTTTAAACTCATAAATGATAAGTTTAACAACTACACAAATTAATCTGCCTAAAGCAGTTATCCAGTTAAGACCATAGTGATTCAAGTGATTAGTTACTTGTTGTGTCCAGTTACGATGGAAACCTATAACACATTTACCTCCTCTCATTGTTATGTTTTTTTCTCTCTCCCCTTTGAGCTGGCAGACAAACAAAAGGGACCATTGTTAATCCACCCATCAAATCTTAGCTAACTTGTTGGAAAAGCAATTCAGTTAGTCCCACTCTCCTGCTGTTTTCCTATATTTCCAAAATAACAGAAATTGCTGGAAAAGTTCAGCAGGTCTGGCAGCATCTGTGGAAGAAATCAGAGTTAACGTTTTGGATCCGGTGACCCTTACAGACCCGAGACGTTAACTCTGATTTCTCTTCACAGATGCTGCCAGGCCTGCTGAGCTTTTCCAGCAATTTCTGTTTTTGTTTCTGATTTACAGCATTCACAGTTCTTTCGGTTTTTATTTATATTTCCAAATGTTTATCAATGAATTTAACCAATTCCCTTTTAAATCTGTTTTGTCCACCATATCAGAAAGTCCATTGCAACTTCCAAATATTATGTTATATTATGCTTTGTCATCTCCAGGTACTTTTTCCTGTCACCTTTAACCTGTGCTTTCTGGTTGTCAACTCTTCTTCAACTATTGGAACTCTACCTAAACCATTCATAAATTTAAACATCTCTGTAAAATTTCCACTTAGCCTCCTCTGCTGACAGCCCTAGCTTTTCCTGCTGATCCATACAATGTAAACCTAGAAACACCAGATCAATTCATAGAAAGAAACCAAGAACTATGGATGCTGGAAATCAGAAACAAAAATAGAAATTGCTGGAAAACCTCAGCAGGTCTGGCAGCATCTGTGGAGACAAAACAGAGTTAACATTTTGGGGCCAGTGATCCTTCCTTGGAACTGCAATTTATACCTTTAGACCTATCACATCTAGGTGTGAAGGGGGTGGACAATTAAACACATCCCTGGAAGCAGAGGTTCCAAACTACTCCCTTCCTCAAGGATGCTGGAGCAGGAACCTTGGTGTGAAAGTCTCTGCTGAAACTTTGCAACCAACTTCAGGCAGAAGTGCCAATTGAATAGTGAGAATATTCTAGCAATAACACTGAGAACCTGCTGCTTCCAATACAGATATAACACCAGCATCTACCTGACAAAGAACAAAGAACAATACAGCACAGGAAAAGGCCCTTTGGCCCTCCAAGCCTGCACTGACACATTTTGCCCTCAAGGCTTTTGAGAGGATGTGTAGCTCACATTGTTGATGTGGCTGTTGACCTCCCCCACACAAAACTATGCTGTCCATCGTTAATAAGTCTACTTCTTCTAAATGCATATCGACCTTCCCAGAGAATCTTTTCCAATAATTTCCCTACCACTGACATGAGGTTCACAGGCCTGTAATTTCCTGGATTATCCCTGCTACCCTTCTTAAACAATGGGACAGCATTAGCTATTCTCCAGTCCTCTGGGACCTCTCCTGTGGCCAAAGAGGATGCAAAGATGTCAAATAATGTGAAAAATTGCCGAGGTATGTTCACAACACAGGACAAAGCCAACTTGATGAATAATTGCCACATTAGTTGACTCTTGATCATCAGTAAAGTGGTAGAAAGTGTTGCCAAATTCAGATTTAATAGTAGCATTTAAAATCATGAGGAGTCTGGAAAGATTAGTTAGAGAGAAATTGTCCTGACTTGTGAAAGTATCAATAATGACAGCACACAGATTTAAATTAATTGGTTAAAGATGATAATGGATAGATTTTTCTTATGTAGTGAGCAGTTGAGATGGCAGTACATCGGCTAGCATTGCTGTCTAACAGCACCAGGGACCAGGGTTTGATACCAGCCTTGGGCAACTGTGGAGTTGGCACATTCTCCCCATGTCTGTGTGGGTTTCCACTGGGCGCTTGGGTTTCCTCCCACAGTCCAAAGGTGGGCAGGTTAGGTGGATTGGCCATGGGAAATGCAGGGTTACAGGGTAGAATGCTCTTTGGAGGGTCGGTGTGGACTTGATGGGCCAAATGGCCTGCTTCCACACTGCAGGGATTCTATGATTCTATGAGATCCAGGATACATTACCTGAGAGTGTGGCAGTGTCGTATTCAATTGGAACATTCAAAAGGGAATTACACTGTTATCTGAAAAAGGTGAACATGCTGGGCATGGGAAGGAGTGGGTGAATGACAGTAAATGAATTGCTGGTTCAGTGAAGGTGGTGCATTCTGTGATACAATAATTGTATTAATTTCATTTCTCCAGCAAATGACAGCTTCCAGCATCTGAATTTGAGCGAACCACAATGAGAATTTGATTGATAATTTTAGATTGGTTGTTAACATAATTCCTGGCTCATGTGGGATTGTTTAGCAAGTGTTGTCCAATCACAGAATCATTCAATGTTATATTAAACATTCAGTTCTGAATTTTGCAGGCATAGACTGGTTGAGTATGTTAGGGCGCTGCCTAAAAGCTAAAGCGCCCAGCTATTACATGCTATCACCGTAAGATTAGAACATAATGCTACACATCTGCCAGCAGTGTGATGCTCAGTGAAAGCAGTTGAAAGATGTATTTTGATTGCATTAGTTTGAATGTGAGCGAGATTTCTTTAGTTCCTTGTATAAATTATCTGCTCTGAAATTTTTGATTTTATGTTGATTTTTCATTGGCTGTTACAGAAGTGCCTTAAGAAAATATTCCATTGATTGTTTGGGAAATGAACTTTTCCAAAAGTAATATCGCTGTTACAGAGATAATACCCAAAATCTTTTTGTGACAATATCTGACAAGAACATCAATACAGAGAACAGTTTTCAATGCCGCATTATTAAAATTAATTAATTAAATGTATTAATTAGTTGATTTCCAATTCTACTAATTGCCATAATGGGTTCTGAAGAGAGTTATATTGGCCAAAATATTTCAAGAAGTAGTTAGATATGGTTCTTAGGGCTACAGGGATCAAAGGATATGGGAAGAAAGCAGCAACTTGGTTGGATGATCAGCCAAGATCATGTTAAACAGGCTAGATGTGGCAAGAATGTTCCCAATGTTGGGGAAGTCCAGAACAAGGGGTCACCATCTGAGAATAAGGGATAAGCTATTCAGGACTGAGATGAAGAAGAATTTCTTCACTCAGACAGCTGTGAACCTGTGGAATTCTCTTCCACAGCTGTTGGGGCCAGGTGGTTAGATATATTCAAGTGGGAGCTAGACGTGGATCAAAGGGTATAGGGAGAGGGCAGGAATAGGATACTGAGATTGCATGGTCAGCCATGATAGTATTGAATGGTGATGCAGACTTAAAGGGCTGAATGGCCTACTCCTGCTTTCTTCGTTTCTATGGTTCTATGTTTATGCGATAATTTGATATTCACCTGGGTATTTTTAAAAATGTATTTATGGGATATTGGTGTCACTTGGCTGGGACAGCATTTATTGCACATCCCCAGTTGCCCTTGAGAAGGTGGTGGGAGCTCCTTTCTTGAAGCCCTGCTGTCCATGATCCCTACAGTGACATTACCACTAGCCACAGTCTCCCCACCATTCCATAAACCATTTTTAAAGTGAATGCACCAGCTGGTGGATGAGGATCATGTAGGGTTACAAACACAAAGCAGGGGTGTGGGACTGAACACCATTGCATTTTCAGAGTTAGCAAAATACAGAAGAGATTGAATGGCCATATTATTGCTATGATTCTTGCTTCTATGAGGCAGCAGAGCTACTGGAAGCTAATATATACTTTGACTGTTCGGGTATATTGTACCTTGATTCAGGAGGTGGTGGAGGGAAATCTTCAGCGCCAACATCATCATAAACGTCCTCCCCCTCTGTGAAGGGAAACAAGAGTGCATGAGTGCAATGTCCAACAACAGCAACAAGAATAAAAGATGCTTTACTGCAGAAAAACCATAATCCCTAGCCACACATTGTAGAAGTGCCGCAGGCTGTTATTGAACAGCAGTCAAGTGGTATCAACCATGACATGATTGGTTTATTTTGCATAAACCACTGCTCTCTTCCAGGCAAGTTTAACTTGCACTTTTCATTCACCATTCAGTGGGAAGGCTGGAATGAAGTGAATACTTGTAGCATGCAGGGTGACAGAGTCAGTGAAACGCACAGGGAAAGACTGGTCAAACTCCTCAGTTCCTCGTCTAAGTGCTCAGTCAATGTGATGGCTAACAGCTGAGCCAAACAGCTTGTGCCCAAGTTTCTGGATGCAAGATGCTGCCTCTGTCCTGGGAGTGTTTGATGGTGATAGTGTAGCATACTTTCAGTTTAAAAGAGTAGAGGGAGCTTTACTCTGCATCTAACCCTGTGCTGTCCCTGTCCTGGGAGTGTTTGATTGGGACAGTGTAAAGGCAGCTTTACTTTGTAACTAACCCTGTGCAGTACCTGTTCTGAGAATGTTTGATTGGGACAGTGTAAAGGAAGCTTTACTCTGTATCTAACCCCATACTGTAGCTGTCCTGGGAGAGGTTGATGTGGAGAGTGTACAGAAAGCTTTACTCTATATCTAACCCCGTGCTGTTCCTGTCCTGGGAATGCTTGATGGGCACAGTGTAGAGAGAGATTTACTGTGTATCTAACGCCTGTTCCTGTCCTGAGAGTGTTTGATGGGGACAGTGCAGACGGAGCTTTAGTCTGTATCTAACCCCACTTTGTCCCTGTCCTGGGAGTGTTTGATGGGGGGAGAGCGTAGAGGAAGCTTTACTCTCTATCTAACCCCGTGCTGTACCTGTGGTTCCATTGTTTCACACTGTGTGAAGTTAGCCTTGATGATTATGTGAGGATATTGTTCAGCGAAACCCTGCAGTACAGCAATATTAAAGTCTTCAGGGCCCTGTGTAGGACACCTAATTTGCATGGAGCTGCTGTATTTGCACCATAAGGAGATCATGTGGATCTTTATTTAGCTTAAGTTGTTGGGAACTACGTTCTGAGTGCACAAAAAGGAAGGAAACGACTCTTCGCTATTCAAAGGCCCAGGCTGCAATCCATACCTTGAACAATACCCATTTCCAAACTCTAAATTGGCTCTGTTCGAAGATTTGAGTATAGGAGAAAAGGTGTTTTTCTGCATTGGTAAGACCACACCTGGAGAATTGTGTGCAGTTTTGGTCTCCTGCTCACTAATTAATTCCCAGGGTGGAGGGAAGTTGAAGGATAGGTTAGAGAGAATGTGACTTTAATCTCTGGAGTTTAGAAGTACAAAAAGATGATTTCATTCAAACTATAGAACTCCACAATTTCCAGAAGGGATTTGATAAGGTGCCACCTCATAGGTGATTGCGGAAAATAGTAGCTCATGATGTAGGGAGTAAGATATTAATGTGGATGGTAATGTTGGCTGGTTGGCAGGATACAGACAGGCTACATAAATAGTGTCTGATTGGCAGGACATGATGAGTCTTGCCACTCTGCAGGGGGTCTGTACTGGAACTCAATCCTTTACGGTTTACACCAATTAGACAAGGGGAGTGAAGGCACAACATTAAACAGACGACACCAAGATAGGTGGGAAAGTACGTTGTGAAGAAGACAGAAGGAAGTTGAAGGTGGAGACATATTTAATAATATATTGAGTGAGTGGGCAGTTCCATAGAATCCCTACAGTGTAGAAACAGGCCATTCAGTCCAACATGTCCGCACCAACTCTCTGGAGAGCAGCCCACCCAGACTCACCCACCCCATCCCTATAACCCTGCATTTCCCATAGCTAACCCACACATCCCTGGGCACAATGGGCAATTTAGCATGGCAATCCACCTACCCTGTACATCTTTGGGCTGTGGGAGGAAACCAGAGCACCTGGAGGAAACCCACGCAGACACGGGGAGAATGTGCAAACTCCACACAGACAGTTGCCTGAGGGTAGGATTGAACGTAGGTCCCTGGCACTATGAGGCAGCAGTGCTAACCACTGAACCACCATGCCTTTCTATGTGAAGTACCGTATCAAAAACGTGAAGATTTTCACTGGCAGAAATAGTAAAAAAGAGTATTGCTGAAATGGAGAATGACTGCAGGGAGACTTAACTATTCTGCTGCATGAGTGGTAAAGATAATTATGCAAGTACAGCACATAATCAAGAAAGAGAATGGGATGCTACACTATTTTATGAAAGGAATCAAACATAAAATTCAGGAATGCCATTGCTTCAGTTATATAGGACATTGTCGAGAGCACATAGAGTCATAGAGTCATACAGCACGCCAATAGGCCCTTTGGTCCAACCAGTCCATGCCCAGCATAATTCCAAACTAAACTAGACCCACGTGCCTGCCCCTGGCCCAACCTTTCCTATTCATGCACTTATCAAAATGTCTTTTAAACATTGTAATTGTACCCGCATCCACCACTTCATCAGGAAGTTCATTCCACACACAAACCACCCTCTGTGTAAAAAAGTTGCCACGTGTCTTTTTTAAATCTCTCTCCTCTTACTTTAAAAACGTGCCCCTCTTGAAATCCCCCATCCTATGGAAAAGACAGCTACCATTAACTCTATCTATACCTCTCTTATTTTATAAACTTCTATCAGGTTGCCTCTCAACCTTCTACGCTCCAGTGAAAGAGATTCCAGGGTTTTGGTGTCTTTTAAAGAAGGATGTAAATCCGTTCAGGGGAGGTTTACCAAATTTTGGCCTGGAATATATGGGTTGACTTCTGAGAAAAGTTGGCAAACAGGGCTTGTTCCCACTAGAATTTGGAAGAGTGAGCGGTGACTTGATTGAGATAACAGGGTGTAGAGCTGAATGAACACAGCAGGCCAAGCAGCATCAGAGGAGCAGGAAGGCTGACGTTTTGGGCCTAGACCCTTCTTCAGAAATAGGGGAGGGGAAGGGGGTTCTGAAATAAATAGGGAGAGAGGGGGAGGCGGATAGAAGATGGATAGAGGAGAAGATAGGTGGAGAGGAGACAGACCGGTCAAAGAGGCGGGGATGGAGCCAGTAAAGGTGAGTGTAGGTGGGGAGTTAGGGAGGAGATAGGTCAGTCCAGGGAGGACGGACAGGTCAAGGGGGCGGGATGAGGTTAGTAGGTAGGAGATGGGGGTGGGGCTTGAGGTGGGAGGAGGGGATAGGTGGGAGGAAGGACAGGTTAAGGAGGCGGGGACAAGCTGGGCTGGTTTTGGAATGCGGTAGTGGAAGGGGAGATTTTGAAGCTTGTGAAGTCCACATTGATACCATTGGGCTGCAGGGTTCCCAAGCGGAATATGAGGTGCTGTTCCTGCAACCTTCGGGTGGCATCGTTGTGGCACTGCAGGAGGCCCGATGTACATCGAGTAAACCAAGTGGAGGGTTGGGGACCGCTTTGCAGAACACCTACGCTCGGTTCGCACTAAACAACTGCACCTCCCAGTCGCGAACCATTTCAACTCCCCCTCGCATTCCTCAGACGACATGTCCATCCTGGGCCTCCTGCAGTGCCACAACGATGCCACCCGAAGGTTGCAGGAACAGCACCTCATATTCCGCTTGGGAACCCTGCAGCCCAATGGTATCAATGTGGACTTCACAAGCTTCAAAATCTCCCCTTCCACTACCGCATTCCAAAACCAGCCCAGCTTGTCCCCGCCTCCTTAACCTGTCCTTCCTCCCACCTATCCCCTCCTCCCACCTCAAGCCCCACCCCCATCTCCTACCTCCTAACCTCATCCCGCCCCCTTGACCTGTCCGTCCTCCCTGGACTGACCTATCTCCTCCCTAACTCCCCACCTACACTCACCTTTACTGGCTCCATCCCCGCCTCTTTGACCGGTCTGTCTCCTCTCCACCTATCTTTTCCTCTATCCATCTTCTATCCGCCTCCCCCTCTCTCCCTATTTATTTCAGAACCCCCTTCCCCTCCCCCATTTCTAAAGAAGGGTCTCAGCCTGAAACATCAGCCTTCCTGCTCCTCTGATGCTGCTTGGCCTGCTGTGTTCGTCTAGCTCTATACCTTGTTATCTCAGATTCCAGCATCTGCAGTTCCTACTACCCCGGTGACTGGATTGAAGTGTATTAGATCCTGAATGATCTTGACAGGTGGAAAGGATGTTTCCTCTTGGGGGTCGGTCCAGAAGTAGGGATCACTGTTTTACAATGAGGGGTTACCCTTTCAGAACAGGGATGAGGAGGATATTTTTTCTGACAGCAGGTTGACTTGAATATTTTTGGGGCTGTGAGGGATAGATTCTTATTAAATAGGGAATTGAGTGTTATTGGAAGCTGGGGGTGTAGATGGAAATGTGGAATATAAAATACAAATAGATCAGCCAAGAGAAGGTAGGGCCCCTTAAAGATCAAGGAGGCTATCTTTGTATTGAACCCCAGAAGATGGGAGGGATGCTAAATGAATATTTCATGTCAGTTTTTACTGTGGAGAATGAAATGGAGGCAAGAGAACTCAGGGAAATAAATATTGATGTTTTAAAACGTTCACATTACAGAAGAGGACGTAATACAGTCATAAAGTCCTACAGCACGGAGACAGGCCCTTTGGCCCAAACTGGTCCATGTTGACCATAATGTCCATCCACACTAACCCCATTTCCCTGCACTTGGCCCATATCCTTCTAAACCTTTCCTATCTATGTATTTGTCCAAATGCCTTTTAAATGTTGTTAATGTACCTGCTTCAACCATTTCCGCTCGCAGCTCATTCCTTATGTCTACCACCCTCTGTGTAAAAAAGTCGACCCTCAGGTTCCCATGTATTCTTTCCCCTCTTTCCTTAAACTGATGCCCTCTAGTCCTCGATTCCCTAACCCTGGGAAAAAGACTGAGTGCATTCACCCTATCCATGCCTTTCATGATCTTATACACTTCTATAAGATTCCCCCATCAGTCTCCTATGCTCTAAAGAAAGACATTCTAGCTGGTCCAACCTCTCCCCATAACTCAGTCCCTTGAGTCTTGACAACATCCTTGTAAATTTCTTCTGCACTCTTTCCAGTTTAGTAACATCCTTCCTATAGCAAGGTGACCAAAACTGAACACAATACTCCAAGTGCGGCCTCACTGATGTTCTGTCCACTGACCAATCCTCACCACTCCCTACCTGCACTCACCTATCACCATCCCACCTACCTTCCCCAGCCCCACCCCTCCTCTCTATTTATTTCCAGCTCCCTTCCCCCTCCCCATTTCTGAAGAAGGGTCCTGACCCGAAACATCAACATTCCTGCTCCTTTGATGCTGCCTGGCTTGCTGTGTTCCTCCAGCTCCATACTGTGTTGTCTCTGACTCCAGCATCTGCAGTTCTTGCTATCTCTGCAACATAACTTCCTAACTCCTATACTCATTGCCCTGACTGATCAAGGCCAGTGTGCCAAAAGCCTTCTTCACTGACCTGTTTACCTGTGACTCCACTTTCAGAGAACCGTGCATCTGAACTCCAAGGTCTCTCTGTTTCACGACACTCCTTAAGGCCCTACCATTCACCATGAAACTCCTACCTTGATTTGACTTTCCAAAATGCAACACCTCACACTTATCTGTATTAAACTCCATTTGTCATTTCTTGGCCCACTTCCCCAGCTGATCAAGATCCTGCTGCAATTTCTGATAACCTTCCTCACTGTCCACGATACCGCCTGTTTTAGTGTCATCTGCAAACTTTCTAGTCATGCCTTGTATAGTCTCATCCAAATCATTGACATAGATAACAGACAGCAATGGGCCCAGCACCGACCCCTGAGGCACACCACTAGTCACAGGCCCCAGTCCGACAAGCATCCTTCCAGTATTACCCACTGCTTCCTACGTACTGGAGGTCTTAGAGAATATAAAGGTGGATAAATCTCTGGGACCTGATCTAATGTACCCCAGAAGCCTGTGGGAAGTAAGGGAGGAAATTATGAGGGCTGTTGCAGAAATATTTGCATTATCTGTAACTATGGGTGAGGTGCCTGATGAATGGGGGGGTGGGGGGTGGCTAATGGTGTACCTTTTGTTTAAGAAAGTTTGTAAGGAGAAACCAGGGAACTATAGGCCTGTGAGTCTGACTTCAGTTGTGGGTAAATTGTTGGAGGTAATTCTAAAAGACAGGATTTATGGACTTTAGAGAGGCAAAAATTGATTAGGGATAGTCAGCATGGTTTTGTGCGAGAAAAATCATGTCTCATAAAGTTGATTAGAGTTTTGAGGAAGTTACCAAAAAGATTGGTGAGGGCAAAGCAGTAGACATTGTTTACTTGGGCTTTACTGAAGCCTTTTACAAGGTTCTGCATGATAGACTAATCAGTAAAGTTAGGTCACATTGGATTCAGGGTGAGCGTGCCAATTGGATACAAATTGGCTTAATGGCAGGAGACAGAGAGTAATGGTGGTGGAGGGTTGCTTTTTGGACTGGAGGCCTGTCACGTGTGGTGTTCCACTGGGATCATTTTTGGGTCCTCTTTTGTTGGATGAGAATATAGAAGGCATGGTTAGTACATTTGCGGATGACACCAAAGTTGGTGGCATAGTAGACAGTGAAGAAGATTTTCTAAAATTACAAAGGGATCTTGGTTAAATGGGTCAATGGGCTGAAAAATGGCAGATGGAGTTCAATCTGGATAAATGCAAGGCATTGCATTTTGATACAACAAACAGGGGCAAGACTTATACAGTTAATGGTAAGGCCTTGGGTAGTGTTGTAATATAGAGGGACCCAGGGGTTCAGGCACATAATTCTTTGAAGTTTGCATCACATGTAGGCAGGGTGGTTAAAGAGTCATTTGCTGTCATTGCTCAATCCTTAGGAGTTGGGAAGTCATTTTGAGGTTGTGGAGGACGTTGGTGAGGCCTCTTCTGGAATACTGTGCCCAGTTTTGGTCACCTAGTTGTAGGAAGGATATTATTCAGCCAGAGAGGATTCAGAAGAGATTTACCAGGATGTTGCCAGATATAGAAGGTTTGAGTTACAAAGAAAGGCTGGATAGGCGGGGACGTCATTCACTGGAGTGTAGGAGTTTGAGAGGTGACCTTATAGAATTTTATAAAAGATAAGGTTAATAGTAGGTGTCTTTTCCTTAGGATGGGGGATTTCAAGACAAGGGGGCATATTTTTAAGGTGAGAGGACAGAGATATGTGAGGGGCAAAGTTTTTACACCGAGGGTGATTTGTATGTGGAATGAACCTCTTGAGGAAGTGATAGATGTGGGTACAGTTATCATGTTTAAAAGACACTTAGATAATATATAAATAGGAAAGGTTTGGAGGGATATGGGCTAGGAACAGGCAGGTGGGACTCATTTAGTTTGGGATTATGTTCGGCATGGACTGGTTGGACCAAAGGGTCTGCTTCTGTGCTGTTTGACTCTGTGACTGTACGATCTCATTGACTGGAGGGAAGGCTTAAGGAGCTGAATGGCCTCGGGAGTGTGGAGCAAGATGAAGTTAATGAGTGTAGGTTCAATTCCTGTCCCAGCTGTGATAACTCATTGGAGACCTGCCTCCTCATCTCACCTCACACTTGTGGAGTGGTTACCCTCAAGATCTACATAACCAGTTGTCTCTCTCTCTCTCTCTCTCCAATGGAGCGAATGCCTATGGTCCTTTGTGTACTAAGGCTCACTACATTTAGGAAAACAGCAAACAGATTATTTTACTCTATGCTGGGTTTTGGCCCTGACTATTGCTTCACTCAGGCACACTTGTGAAGGAAATGTGGTCTCTATAAAATGGAAAATTGAGACTCCTGACTTCCCAGCAAAAGAAGACAGAAAGTATGGATTCATTTTGGAAGCTCCCTTACCTGTTGGAAGCTCTGCAGGTGAAGGAATAGACCTGGGAAAAAATAAAAGCACATCAGTTTACACCATAAAAAGGAACAGTTTCCCAATAATCCAGATTTAACAGAATTCACAGGGGGAGGGAGGAGAAAGGCTGAGAACATGCATTCAAGAAGTTAGACTAGCAAGAGTGATATATGATTTAATTAGGTTAATAACTACATTAAATTAGCTAACACCAGGAACATATCAGAAACCTGAAGAAGGGTCCAGACCCGAAACGTCAGCTTTACTGCTCCTCTGATGCTGCCTGGCCTGCTGTATTCATCCAGCAGATGGCAGTCTTTCACCATGTGCAAAGAAGAGCTGATCGAGAACCTTGTCACATCACGGAAATGTCTCAAATAGCTTCCCATTCAATGACTTGTAAGGTACAGTCACAGCTGTTCATGAAGCAACCACCAATATTCTGTCTTTCTTTCCTGTCGGTTGCGTTTACTGATAACAGTCTCATCTCTTGTGACAGAAGTTGGGGGTTAATGTACCACTCAGGACTAAAACCTGAAAATTAATGGGAATTAACACAGGTTCATGGAATGGTGGGAATACACTGATGTCTGTGATTCCCTGCCTCCCTTCCATAGAATCATGGAATGTTGGTGGCATAGAAGATGGCTATTTGGCCCATTGTGTCTGTGCAGGTTCTCTTCAAGACAACTCAGCTAGTCCCACTTACCCACATCTTCCCTATAGTTCAGCAAACACTTTCTGTCCAGATTAATGTCCAATACCGTTACGAAGGCCACAATTGAACTCGCCTCCTGTAGTGATTGTGACAAGGTCAGCCAGGTGGAGCTCACAGAATATGTATTCCCTGATTAGGGCTGTTAATCTGGTCCAATCAGGGAGCCCTGGCTGATAGATATAAACAGGAGTGTCAGACATGCTGGTACTCTGGGAGTTGATTGTGATGAGGCTGCATCAGGGTCAATAAAGGATGGCTTGATGACAGGATACTGTCCGCTGTGGAATTATTTCACCTCCCTCACACTCTTATGTAATGCATTCCAGATCCTAACCATTTGTTGCACTAAATAGTATCTATCTGCTCCTATGATGCTGCTTGGCCTGCTGTGTTCATCCAGCCCTGCACCTTGTTGTCTCTATCTCCATGCTTTTTTTTTACATAGCCATTTATTTCAATTGGTTGGCCTCTGTGTTTCAATCTTTAAGCAGTTTATACCTAATCTGACCAGGCCCCTAATAATTCTGAATATCTCTGTGGAATCTTCTCTCAAATGTCTCCTTTCCCAGGAGAAAAGCCTCAGATTCTCCAATCTACCCTCAGAATGGTAGACCATCAACCCTGGAACTTTTCTTATAAATCTATTTCCATCCTTCAATTCTTCCAACATTCAGTGCCTAGAATTGGACATAATGCTCCAAATATGACTGAAAACATGTTTTATGAAGTTATGTACTTTATGTCCCTATTTCTAAAGCCCAGCATCCCATATCCTTATACCAATAATGCATAATTAACCATTTTCACAACCTTTTGTGCCCCCTTAAATCACTTGCTAAAGCCCTTCTACTTTCACACCCACTCTAGAATTGTATTCTTTCTTTTATTTTGTCCCTAGTCTGCCACATGCCCAACCATTCTACCAGCCAATCTCTGCCCTCCTTACAATTCACAATGTTCAGCACCATTTCCAGCTCCTCAGATACTGAAGCAGTCCATGTTCAAATGCAACAAGATCTGGACAATATCCAGGCTTGGGCTGACAAGTGGCAAATAACATTTGTACCACACAAATTCCAGGCATTGACCATCACCAACAAGAGACAATCTAACCACTACTCTTTGACATTCAATGGTGTTACCATCACTGAATCCCCCACTATCAACATCCTGGCAGTTGTCATTGATCACAAGCTCAACTGGACTCACCATATTATGTTTTCCTTAACCACAAATTCTGAAACTGGTAAAATAAGACAAAGAACTGCAGATGTTGAAGATCAAAACTCAGCAGGTCTGGCAGCGTTTGTGGAGTGAAGGTTAATGTTTTGAGCCCAGTAATCCTTCTTCAGAACGGTCATTTTGGCCTGTTCTAAAGAATGGTCAACTGAGTTTGTCCAGCAATTTCTGTTTTGCTTTCTGAACCTGTGATCTGGACGCCCATGTCTACGTCATCAATCAGATGCCAGGCAATGACCTTCACCAACAACGAAGAATTGAACCATCTTTCCTTGACATTCAGTGATATTATAATCACTGAATTGTACCCACACATCACAACTGACAATATCCACTGACTGGAAACTGAACTAGTCAAATCATGTAAATACTGTGCCTACAAATGATCATAAGATGTAGGACCAGGACTAGGCCAAAAAGCCTTTGAGTGTACTCCACCATTCACTGAGATCATGGCTGATACAATAATGTTCAACTCCAATTTCCTGCCTTTTCCCCATAACCCTTGAACCCCTTACCAATTAAACATCTATCTCAGCCTTGAATATACTTAATGACCCTGCCTTGACAGCCGTCTGTGGTAAAGAGTTCCACAGATTCACTCCTCTCTGAGAGAAGAAATTCGTCTTCATCAAAGTGCATTACCTCACATTTTCCCACATTGTATTCCATTTTCCCCACTTGCTTAACCTGCCGATGTCCCTCTGCAAACTCTGTGTTACTCTCACCACTTGCCTTCCCACCTATTTTTGTGTCATCCGCAAACAGAATATTTACTTTCCTCATCCAAGTCATTAATATGTAATGTAAATAAATGTGGCCCCAGCACTGATTCCTGTGGCACCTCAAATGCCGGTCAGAGGTTGGGAATTATTTAGGAATTCCTGACTCCCCAAAGCTTAGGCCACCACCTACAATTGTCACGACTTGTGTCATTCGAGTACTACATTGTGTAAAGTAGGCTAATCTCTCTGTAAAACTGGACATGGAATCCTGCAAAATAGCTCCCAGAAGTCATGTGACCATCCTTGTTGATTCACTATAGCGTTAATAGCAGATAGACTGATGTGTTATCTCTGCATCATTTACATAGGGAGACATTTCGAAGCCAGTTAACTCCTGGTATATAAGAAAGCCGTCTCCAAATTGGGAAGGCTACCCTGTTTTACAGTTCACATTGACAATTTTTGCTATAAAGTGGCATCTTGATAAAAGTGGTCCAGTTGGGAGGTCCTGAATAGTCACCAAGAGGGCTGAAAACTGATGTCCCATCTGACAATGGGACTGGGGAAGAAAGCACATCTCCAATCCAGCTCTCGATTTTGTTTTACCAAAATATTTTCTGCAGTCTGTCCCGAAATGTTCACCCACGAGGCTCTGGGTGTAGGGCACTAACATGATGGATAAAGGAAACCAGTTTGTGAAGTAGTTCGGTTACCAAATCAAAGAGGGTGAGTGGAGTTAAGAAACAGATCAGGCGTGGTCTAATTGACTGGAAGAACAGGTTTGAGAATCTGATTGGTCTCCCGTTCCTACATTCTCTTTCTTGTAAGAAGTACATGCTGGAGGGTAAATCAACAGAGAAAACACAAAAGACATTACTTCTGGTTCCAGAAAGTTCTCTATAGATACTCAGTGATAAGTTTTCTTATCAACTGAACCAACATTTGAGAAGTGCAATGGTTAGTTCTACGTGGAAAACAAAAAGCTTCATTAGTAACAACGACATTACTCTCGGCAGACAACAAGGTGCAGGGCTGGATGAACACAGCAGGCCAAGCAGCATCATAGGAGCAGAGAGGCTGACGTTTCGGGCCTAGACCCTTCATCAGATGCTGCTTGGCCTGCTGTGTTCATCCAGCCCTGCACCTTGTTGTCTCGGACTCTCCAGCATCTGCAGTTCCTACTATCTCTGATTCAATTGCTCTCGGCAGCTCGTATTTTATACCTGCTTCTCACGCTGCCTGAACAGTAACATTAAGGCAGTGTGTTAGTAATGGGTGAATCCTCATCAATATGGTGTGAAGCCAGATTAATTCATTAAAGCTCGGTGAATGTCAGGGCAAAACATATGAAGTAACGAGCAAGAAAAATAAATAGGGAAAGGATTGGTCGCGAAACTGGAATTTATTCTGATTGAATGCGTGGAGCTTTTGATTGGGTTAGGGTCAGTCTGGACATTGTTTCCATACCAAATGGATCAGTGATAGATTCACAGTCCTCTATGCAGTTAGCGCAAACTGTCAAACACATTAGTACTGAGTGTGGTTATTAGTACGCTGGTGTTCTTGTTGTTTGGTGTCTTACGGGAGTTGCCGTTCACCGCTTTCACCCTGAGCGTCACTGTTATCCTTTTCTCTCGCCTTTTTGTCTTTGTCGTCTTTCTCCACCTTCCTCTTCTTCAGGAGTCCCCAGGACCAGGACCCAGTCTTTGAGGCATCCTGTGACGCAGGGCTTCAAAGCATTCAGGGCATTATTTACTCGTTAATAAGTCCTAGGCTTTGTAACACTAGGTCATCCAAAACCACTTACTCTTGACTACCACCAGTGGATTACATCTTTGGCTGTTTGCATGTAAAATAAAATCCAACATTCTGACCTGAATCAAGCTGTTATAATTTTATTTGCATGTTTAATTCTAAATACGGATACTTCCATCCTCGTAATATGGTCAGAATATGATGTAATATCGTCAGCTTTCCTGCTCCTCTGATCTTGCTTGGCCTGCTGTGTTCATCCAGCTCTACACCTTGTTATCTCAGATTCTCCAGCATCGGCAGTTCCTACTATCTCATGGTCAGAATAATATCTGTGCTCATGCAGGATTGAATATGAGATACTAGGATGAGAAGATCGAAATTCAATCAGAACGGCTCTACCAATTTGTTCGGCCATTATTTTCACCTGTCAAATTTGTCTTACATGAATGGTGAATTCATTTGCTCATATTTCAGCTGTGGGTTTGTGAAAATGCAGTGAGTTTATTATTTGGGAGTTTGTATTAGCGATGAACTGTTCTATGTTACAGTACTGCCAGAACCACTTCATTCCAAAGCCCCACTCTCACTGGTGACACCAGGACAAGGACCATATGCTTTGTAAATGTTTCACTCTCTCCCAGCCTTCTTCAACAGGTGTCAGCTATCAGCCCATCAACCTGCAGACGCCAGCCTGCACACGAGAGGAAAGATTAAAGCGACAGAGTAGCCCGTCAAATATCAACTACTTAGCCCATCTAACTATCTCCCCCATGTTGCCAGACCCTCCACAGCCTCCCTCTCTGCAGCTTCAATCTACCTGGAATTTGTGAGGGATAAATCTGCCTGATTTCTCTGCTCAGTTCCTCCATTAAGACCAGGCTACTCACTGATTCAAGTAAAGTGAACCTGAAAATGGCCTGGGCCCTGAACCCTTTTCTCTGGATCCATTCACATGCTAAGCTGCTATCCATGTGCCTTATCCAAGCTCAAAGGCACCTTTAGGTTAACATCCTCACGTCTACAAAGAATCATATGGTTCTTACCGAGGCTTCACGTCTTCAGGTATACCATCAACATCATCGTAGATATCGTCACTGGAAGGAGGAGGAGGAAAGAGCCCTGAGATGGACAGGAAGACACAAAACTGTCAGGTTCATAGTTAGAAAGTTACCTTGGGAAGAAATTTGATATACTGCAGAATATTAAAAGAATTCATCATAAAAATGCAAATCCCGCAGGTCACGTGCTATGGATGGGATAGGCAGGAGTGAAAATGTTCCAAAGGAACACATTCAGCCAAAATATAATTGAGCTGGGAAGTCAGTGAACATTGAAGTGGGGAGTGTAAGTTTGTTCATGAGACGGCTCATGAAACGGGATTCTAGTAAACAAAAAGATGAGGGAAATGGTGAGGAGCAGGGTATAAATTCAAGAACAAGTGGTAGGAGTAGGCTGACCAGCACTGAGGCCTGTCCCACCATTTAAGAAGATGGTTAAAGCCCAATACCAACTCTAACCTCTCACCCTATCCCCAATTTCTTGGATTTCTTTTGGATTTATGGATCTCACTCTTGAAAATACTCAACAACTCAGCATTTATAACCTTCAGGTATAGAGAATCGACTTTGAGGAGAAATTATTCCTCAACTCATTCCTAAATTGCCATTGTCTTATCCTGAGACATTGGCTCCATGAGCCAAACTCTCCAGCCAGAAGAAACAAGTCTTCATTCTGCTATCAAACAGGGATGGGCAGCTTTGGGCTTGTTGTCCTTTTCCACTTTCAATGATTCTCACATTCTGAGCCAGACTCTTCACTCTACACAGTGTAGGAGGTGATCTGTAACTGTAAATTGACAACGAAATAGCTGTAGTTGAGGATTCCCCTAGTTATCTCTTCTTTGCTATAAAGGTGCACTGTGCAAGTCTTGGGAGCGGTTTGATTGTATTTTTGCCAAATGAAGATTACTGATTAGGAAATTCTGCCAAAGGCACACAATAGTTATTCAATTAAGATAGACAATGATTATTCAATATCTTGGAAATGGTTTAGGAGGTTGGACAGGAGTTTAGGGTTAAAGGATTTTGGCTTTACAAAATGTGAGAAGACCCCAAAGAGAAGTGATAGTTGTTGACACGTCTCAGTACACAGTGCAGCAGTAGAACCTAATGGCCAGAACAGAGATTGACTGCTTATTGGATACTCACCACTGCCCCCTGTATTGCCGCTCCCATTCCCTCTAGAAAACAATGGAAAAGAGGGGTCACAATCAGCAAACAGCTTGAAACAAAGCCTTAAGATAAAAGTGGCATCTTACACATTCCTTTCTGTGTTGACAAAGTATGGAAGAACCTTCAGGTGGTTTGGATTAGCATGAACATAACATAAGGCTGCACTTAAAAAAATATATATAAGGCTGCATTTAAGGAGCTCTTGTAGCGCAGTAGTCATGTCCCTACCGCTGGGTCAGGAGGCCTGGGTTCAAATCCTACGTGCCCCAGAGGTGTGGATAACTTCTCTGAACAGGTTGATTCTCCAATACTGTGAAGGCGCATTGAGAAATGCACTGCTTTCATCACTTTAACGTCAATGCATGTTCTGGTACATTGCAAACCATCCAGCTGACTGTTCTTGGTTCAGGCCTCAACACATACAAAACCACTTTATTATGATTTAAGAACCTCTGAAGCCAGAAGCTGCCAAATCCACATCAAAATTTGTTTAGTCAGAATGCAGTACGTGCTCTCTCTCTCCCATAGTGACTGCTGCCTTCTTATTTAAAATTTCTTGCCCGTCCCTAGTTGCCCTTGAGAAGGTGGGGGTGAGCTGCCTTCTTAAACCACTGCAGGCTACCTTGGTAACTACAGGTAATTAATCATGTGGGTACAAGGGATCATAGGCATCTCTGTCCATTAGAGAGAAAAGTAATTGGATATAGAAACCTGAGGGGCACCACTTGAGAAACAATCATGGGGCAAAGAAGAAGATGGGAGCTTGGCCTTAAATAATTTAATCTATTTGTTTGAACCTCTCCAAGGATTTAAAAAAATATATTTTTGTTCATGGGATATGGCCATTGCTGGTTGGGCCATTTTTTAATTACCCATTTCTAATTTCCTCTTGAACTGAATGGCTTGCAAAGGCCATTTTGAGGGTGGTTAAGATTCATAACATCATAATATAAAGGAGCAGAATTAGGCCATTCAGCCCATCGAGTCTGCTCCCTTTTCGATCATCGTTGATATGTTTCTCAACCCCATTCTCCTGCCTTCTCCCTGCAACCTTTGATCTCCTCATTAATCAAGAATATATCTGTCTTAACTGCACTGAATGACTTGACCTTCACAGGTCAATGAGTTCCACAGATTCACCACCCTCTGGCTGAAGAAATTCCTCCTCATCTCAGTTCTAAAGGCTCATCCCTTCACCCTGAGGCTGTACCCTTGGGTCTTAGTCTCGCCTACTCGTTAAAACATCTTCTTCACATCCACCGTATCCAGGCCTCTCAGTATTTTGCAATTTTCAATTATATCTCCCCTCATCTTTCAAAATCCATTGAGTATAGACCCAGAGTCTACAACCATTCCTCACATGAAAAGCCCTTCATTCCATCACACTCCTGACTTGTGCCTTGTAGATGGTGGACAGGCTTTGGGGAGTCAGGAGGTGAGTTACTCGCTAGATGGCTAGATCAGTTTAGTTTCTGGTCAGTGGTAACTACTATGATGTTGACAAGTGGGGAATTGAGCAGTGGTAATGCCATTGAATATCAAGGGGAGATGGCTACATTCATTCATGTTGAAGACAGTAACTATGTGGTGTTTCTGTGGTATGAACATTACTTGCTTCTTGTCAGTCCAAGCCTGAATGTTCTCCAGGTCATGCTAGATTTGGACATAGAATCATAGAATTTTACAGTACAGACAGAGGCCATTCTACCCTTTGTTTTTGTACCAGCTCCTGAATGAGCTACCCAGCTTGTCCAATTCTCCAGTCCTAATTCCGCAGCCCCCTAAATTTATCACTTTCTAATATATATCCAGCTCTCTTTTGAAATCATATCAACTTAACAACTAAATCTTAACAACTGAGTAAAGAAGTTTTTCCTCATCCAACTCCTAGCCCTCTTGCTGACAATCTTGAAATTGTGATCCCCTAGTTACTGACATATGAACTAATGAAAACAGAATATCCTTCTTTACCCTGTCAAAATTGTTCATAATTTGATTACCTCAATAAGGTCAACTCTTAATCTTCTCTGCTCTAAGAAGCCCAATCTCTTTAATCCTTCCTTGTATCTAGAATTCCTTATTTCTGGTATCATTCTAGCAGATCTCCTTTGAACTGCTTCAGTATCCCAAGAATTGTGAATGGTGCTGAACACTGTGCAATCATTGGCAAACGTCCCCACTTCTGACTTTATGATGGATGGAAGGTCATTGATGAAGCAGCTGAAGATGGTTGAGCCTAGGACACTACCCTGAGGAACTCCTACAGAGATGTCCTGGAGCGGAGATGATTGACTTCCAACAACCACGACCATCTTCCTATGTGCCAGGTATGACTCCAACCATTGCCCCCTAATTGCCATTGCCCCCAATACCCATTGATTCCAGTTTTGCTGGGTCTCCTTGATACCACACTTGGTCGAACGCAGCATTGATGTTAAGCGCCGTCTCTCTCACCTCACCTTTGGAATTCAGCTCTTTTGTCCATGCTTGAACCAAGGCTGGAATGAGGTCAGGAGCTGAGTGGCCCTGGCGGAACCCAAACTGGGCATCACTGAGCAGGTTATTGCTGAGCAGGTTCTGCTTGATAGCACTGTTACTGACACCTTCCATCACTTTACTGATGATCGAGAGGAGATTGATGGGGCGGTAATTGGCCGGGTTGGATTTGTCCTGCTTTTTGTGTACAGGAAATACCTGGGCAATTTTTCACATTGTCGGGTAGATACCAGTATTATAACTGTACTGGAACAGCTTGGCTCGGGGAGCGGCACAAGTCTTCAGTACTATTGCTGGAATGTTGTCAGGGCTGGTAGCCTTTGCAGTATCCAGTGTTTCCGAACATTTCTTGGTGCGATGTGGAGTGAATCGAATTGGCTGGAGTCTGATACCTGTAATGCTGGGGACCACTGGAGGAGGCCGAGATAGATCATCCACTCAGCACTTCATGCTGAAGATTGTACTAAAGGCTTGAGCCTTGACTTTTACACTGAAGAGCTGGGTGATGGGTTAATGCCTCTCCCTGTAGTCTCTAAATCGTAGAATTAGTACAGTGTGGGAACAGGCCCTTTGGCCCAACAAGTCCACACTGACCCTCGGAGCATCCCACCCAGACCCACCCCACTATAACCCACATTCCTGAACACTACAGGCAATTTAGCATGGCCAATACACCTAGCCTGCACAGCTTTGGCCCATGGGAGGGAACCGGAGCACCCGGAGGAAACCCACACAGACACATGGAGAATGTGCAAACTCCACACAGACAGTTGCCCAAGGGTGGAATCGAACCCAGGTCCCTGGCACTGTGAGGCAGCAGCGCTAACCACTATGCCACAGTGCCTTGACATATTGGCAGAGGCAAGTTTGGGGAATCCCTGAGTGCTCTTAGTTATTGTTGGGAATAGTAACTGGCCTGCCAGCCAGAGGTAATATGAGTATAGTGGCAATGCCAGTGGAGTAGCAATCCAGAGCAGACTAATGATCCAGGGTCATAAACATCCCTTTCATTCCCCTTCAGGATGGTCTGTGGGTTCTCTGTTTCTTCCTTGTTAAGAGGCCTGAACCGTCCCCATCAACCACCACCCTCCTCTGCCTGACCGAGCTTGTCCTCACTTTGAACATATTCTCCTTTAACTCCTCCCATTTTCTTCAGATCAAAAGGATGGCCATGGCTACTTGCAGGGTCCCCAGTTATCCCTGTCTCTTTGTGGGGTATATGGAACATACCTTGTTCTAGTTCTGCTCTGGCCCCACCCATAACACACTCTCTGGAATATCCTTAAAATCTTTAATGCTCCTTCCTGCTCACATTCGAAATTGGTTCAATTCATCGGTTTTGTTTCCAATTTCCACTCTTCCCTTGCCTTCACCTGGTCCATCTGTTTTGTTCCCTTCCTTTCTTGACTTCACTGTTTCGATTTCTGAGAATTGGTTGTTCACTGATATCTATTACAATGCCACCAACGCCCACAGTTACCTCAAATACACTTCCTCACAGCCTGCTTCCTGTAAAGACTCTGTTCATTCTCCAGACTCCTCCATCTCCATTATCTTTGTTCTAATGATGCCACCTTCCATGGGCTGCGTTTGACATGAACTCCTTTTTCCTCAACTGATGAAACAGGGCCCTCAGCCATGTCCAGCCCATCTCACGCACCTCTGCCCTCACCCCTTCCTCTCCCTCTAAGAACAATGATAACTTCCCCTTGTCCTTATTATCCACCTCACTAGGCTCTGCATTTAAAGGATTATCCTCCACCATTTCCACCACCTCCAGCAGGATGCCACCACCAAACACATTCCCCTCCCCTCCGCTGTCGGCATTCTGCAAGGGCTATTCCCTGCAGGATACTCTGGTTCACTCCTCCATCACTCCTAACACTTCCTCACTCCCCCATGGCACTTTCCCATGTAACTGTAGAGGGTCTAACCCTTGCCCATTCACCTCCTCCCTCCTCACTGTCCAAGCTCCGAGTTACACCTTCTGGGTGAAGCAGTGTTAGACTTGGACTTCTTTCAGTCAAGGGGCCTGCATTCACCGCTCACAATGCAGCCTCCTTTCCACTGGGGAGACCCAGCACAAGCTGCGAGACCACTCTGTGGACAGATCTCCACTCTGTCTGTAAGAATGATCCCACCACCCCTCCCAGTTAGTTGCTATTTCAATAAACCAGCCCTCACAGTCTTGTGAGCATTCCTGTCCCGGGCTAGCTGCAATATTCTAAAGAAGCATAATATCTCCTTGAGGAACAACACCTCATTTTCCGCTCAGACATTTTACAGTCTCTTAGATGCAATATTGAATCCCACGACTTCAGAACATAACCGCCATCCCCCATCTCGAATACAAAATCCTTCCACCTCACCCCCTACCAACCCACCAGCTGTGTCTTGTTGATTTTACTTTTTGCAGAGTGACTCATTTTCGCCTTTATATAGTTAGCATTTATTCTTATTTCACGTCTCTATCCCTCCACATCACTCCCCTTGTCTGGCTGTGGATGTCCTCACAATCTGTCCAGTTCGCTCTTCCTCTCCTTTTGCAGCCATTTTCTATCCACCATTTTCCAACCCCTTTCCAGTCACTGGACCCAAAAATATTAAGACTGTTTCTCTCTCCACAGATACTGCCAGATCTGTTGAATTTCTCTACTTTGTTAAATTTCAGATCCCACAGCAACTGGTGGAATTTAAATTCAATTAATAAATGTAGAATTGAAAACTAATCTCAGTAATGCGTGAAACTGTCATTGGTTGTCATAAACCTGCATGGTTCACTGATATCCTTTAAGGGAAGGAAATTAGCTATCCTCACCTGGTCCGGCCTACAAGTGACTCCAGACCCATAGCAAAATGACCAACTTGGTCACTTAGTTCAAGGTTCAATAAAGGATGGGCAACAAATGTTATCTTTTAAAGTGAAACCCATGTCCCATGAATGGCAGAGCAGGCTTGAGGGGTCTGCTCCTGCTCCCAGGGGTCAGAAAAGATTTACAAGGATATTGCCAGGATTGGAGGGTTTGAGCTATAGGGAGAGGCTGAATACACTGGGATTATTTTCGTGGAGCATCAGAGTTTGAGGGGTGACCTTATAGAAGTTTATAAAATCATGAGGGGCATGGATAGGGTGAATAGGCAAGGTCTTTTCCCCGGGGTGGGGGAGTCCAAAACTAGATGGCATAAGTTTAAGGTGAAAGGGGAAAGATTTAACAGGGACCTAAGGGGCGATCTTTTTCATGCAGAGGGTGTTGCGTGTATGGAATGAGCTGCCAGAAGAGGTCATAGATGCTGGTACAATTACAACATTTAAAAGGCATCTGGATGGGTATATGAATAGGAAGGGTTTAGAGGGATATGGGCCAAATGCTGACAATTTAGATTAATTTAGGATACCTGGTCGACATGGACGAGTTGGGCTGAAGAGTTTGTTTCCGTGCCGTACAATGTAAATTGTAGCACCTTCCTGCTGTATATCCAACCATATCACCCAACTAATTCAGCTCAAAGGCAGCTGGGTCCAGATGTACAAAAACATGTGAGCCCGCAGGATACACAGAGTCTACAACCAGGTTAAGTTCTTTGCTCCTTTACAGGATAAAGGTGTCACTGGCTGGGCAGCATTTATTGCCCATCCCTAATTGCCCAGAGTCAACCACATTACTGTGGGTCTGAAGTCACATGTAGGCCAGACCAGGTAAGGATAGCAGTTTCCTTCCCTAAAGGGCATTAATGAACCAGATGGGTTTTTCCTGACAATCAACAATGGATTCACGGTCATCATTAGATTCTTAATTCCAGATATTTTTACTGACTTCAAATTTCACCATCTGCCATGGGCAGGATTTGAACACAGATCCCCAGAACATTATCTGAGTCTCTGGATTAACAGTCCAGCGATAATACCACTAGGCCAGCACCTCACCATCATGTGTAGGCAAAGACTTGGCAGATGGAATGTAATGTAGAAAATTGGAGGTTATGTCTTTTGACAGGAAAAATAGAGAAAATGAATATCATTAAATGGTGAAAGCCTGCAGAAAGCTAGAGCTCAGAGAGATTTAGGAGCCCTTGTGCATGAGTTGCAAAAAAAACTAGAATCCAATTTCATCAGGTAATAGGGGAGGCAAATGAAATGTTGGTCTTTACTTCAAAAAGATTGAAATATAAACGTTGGGAGGTCTTGATCAAACCATACAAGGCACCAGTCAGACCACAACAAAAAACAGAAATTGCTAGAGAAACTCAGCAAGTCCGGCAGCATCTGCAGACAGAAAGCAGAGTTAAGAAAAAGCAGTGCTAATGTTTTGAGTCATGACCCTTCTTCAGAATGGGTGTTTCTATTTTTCTACAAACTGGAATGCACAAATGTTGAAAATCTAACCCCTGCTTGGAGGGATTTTTGTTTCTTACATGTCATCATTTGGTGCAACATCGTCATAGAGTTCCTGGTCTTGGATTGGTTGCTTCATGACGGGCATGTTAGCTGTTTTCTTCCTTATCTCATCATAGTTGATATCCACACACGTTACTTTAATGTACCCATCTGTAAAAGAGGAGACAAATAAACAACTGATGCACAAGAATTACAAAGACCCAGTGTATTCCAGCAGCAATTAATCAGGACAGTGCAGCAGAGATTTCCTTACCCAATGATGATGAGTTCCAGATGCCATAGAGAAGACACTTAAATAGTGTAGGGATATTCCTATTTGATAGTCTAATTATGCATTGCAACAGAGAACACACTAGTTTGGTGATGACTGATTAATTGCAAATTAAGCTTTGTTTAAATTTAAACCAGCATGACTGGTCAAAACATTATCCTGGGGAATGAACTAGAGAATGGTCATTGCACACTCTGTAAAGTTGAAATAGAGCAGGTACGCAGTGTGGCATACTAGTGTATACTAGAAGTTACACACATGTAATACACAGGCCCCTGTTTGTTGCAGACTGAAAGAACATATACACATCCTGCACCAGTTTCAACTTGCCTTGATCAATCAGAGTTAACCTGTCTGGTATAAATTTAAACTAAGCTTGGCATTCAACTGTCAGTCACTGTATCCATAGCAAGATCTCTCAAACAGCAATGTGATAATACCCAGATAATCTGCATTGGTTGTCCTGTCCATTTTCAAAATATTGTCTCAGAATTTATCTAAAAGAGCATACAGAATTTTGGTATTCTGTTTTAGTTTAATTTCTCATCTGAAAGATGACTTATCTGACTGTGAGGCACTTCCTTGATATTGCACTCAAGTGTTAGCCTGGATGATACCCTGGCTCCCTTATTAACTAATATTGTGAATGGTTTTCTGTCTGATTGTATTCTCCTCAAATCTAGTGTCATCACCCTCCTCCTCAAACCTTCTCTCCCTCTATCTTTACATATTTGCGCCTTCACCAAAATCACTGATTTCTCCCTCCATAAAAACATTGTACACCTGTTGTTAAACCTCTCATTTCTGCCTTCGTTACCTGTAGACTTGAATAACCCAAGACACTCCTGTCTGATGTCCCAAATTCGACCCTCCACCATGAGCCTCAGGTCACCAAAAACTCTGAACCCCCCCCATATCTGATCATGTACCATGTCATGCTCATCCATCGTATCTCAATGATTTACATTGACTCCCAGCTTAACAACATCTTGATTTTAAAATTCTCCTGCACATTTTCAATTCTCTGCAAGGTCATAGAAATATAGAAACTCGGACCAGGAGTAGGCTATTTGGACCTTTGAGCCTTCTCTACCATTCCATACGATCCTGGCTGATCATCCAACACAATACCCTGTTTCTGCTTTGTCCTCATACCCTTTGATCCCTTTAATATTTGAAAAAAATCAAAGGTCTCATCTCTTTATGTTGCTCCTTAAAACCTTTTGATTGTCCATCCCAACATTTCCTTAGAAGAGAAATCAACATCCTATACATGCTGGAGCTCTGAAATAAATACAGAGAATGCGGGAGAAACTCAGCAGGTCTGGCAGGAAGTGTAGAGAGAGGCAGAGTTAATGCTTCAAGTCCAGTGTAACTCTCCTTTGTCTCCAAAGAAGAGTCATACTGTGAAGGGCACAGGGACATTTTATCATGTTAATGGCAGTATTTGTAAACATACAAATGTGCTTATAGTTCCAGTTCAGGGGGTGACAGTGCTCCAAGCTAACATTCTAGGCCTGGACATCTGACACTACCTCAGGATTGACTAGAATATCCGCCTAGATCCATGCGCTCAAGTGGGAATCAAATATATATCCCATCGGACCTAGAAGCAAGAGTTAATGGCACAAATATTGGATGATCTGATGTGCACTGCATGTTCCAGCTGCTTTTTTCCCTGAAAAGCAGATTTTTCATGATTTCCAACTCTAGAAATTGTCATTGCCGGGAGACCAGGGATTGATTAGACTGGCATCTCCTTATTTGAAGAAACTAAGTGGTCGTGAGGGCAATGAGAAGGCTTGACGTCCATCACCAAAATAGGTAGCTCTTCACCAACATGATCCCCAGGAACCCAGAGGAAACATAATTAGCAGAAGAGCTCTTGTGGCTAGGGGTCACAGCTTCATGGGAAAACCTTTCATTATCGCACTTACCCCATCCCGGGACAGAATACATGTCCTGAGAGCCTGACACAAACAGAGATTGAGCCCTCTCTATTACTGACTTCATTGGGGTTCATCATGGAGAAAAGCAAATGCTGTGGGGATTGGGTGTGGAGTTTGCATTCAGGAAGAGAATCCCCCAAGTATACCTGATCTAGACATTATCGTATTGCTGTTCCTAGGAGTTTCCTGTGTGCACATTGGTTGCTGTATTGTGTGGGGTCTCAGGAAATAGGAGCTTGTGTCGGCCCCTCAACCTGCTCTAACATCCAACTGGATCATTGCTAACCCCCTATCTCAATGTTATTTTCCTACACACTCATTTAGATCTTTAATATTTAATATCTAGAAAAGATCTACATTAAAATAGTGAATCAACTTCTAAAATATTTCATTGACAATGAACTGCTTTGGTTTCAGATATCCAGATGACAAATACAGGTTCTTTCTTATTGATTTGACGAACATTTGTAGTACTCATAGCTGACAGCTGGGGGCGCTGACAGTCCACTGCGTTGATGATTTCCAGCAGCCCCACCAATGGATGCTCATGTGTTGAACTGAAATCCCATGTGTCCACACCTTGGTTTCAATAAATTCCAGAGGAATTTTACAATTATTATTTCAGTAGTATGTAAATAGTCTGATGCATTAGTTATTATTAAAATTCCGGGCTCAGATTTTCAACTATCTTTCTGGTTAGCCTCCCACCTTATATCCTCAGAAAGATATAGCTTGTCCAAAACGTTTAGCTGTCTATGTCTTTACCCCCACCAAATTCCAGTTCATTCATCACCCTCTGCTTGACTCACTGACTTACGCTGACTCCAGCTCAAGCAGAACCTTGACTTTAAAATTCTTGATGTGGACGTGTGGGTGTTGGACTGGGGTGTACAAGGTCAGAAATCACACGACACCAGGTTATAGACCAACAGGTTTATTTGAAATCACAAGCTTTCATCAGGTGAAGGAGCAGCTCTCCAAAAGCTTGTGATTTCAGATAAACCTGTTGGACTATAACCTGGTGTCAAGTGACTTCTGACTTTAAAATTCTTGTCCTTGATTTTGAATCCCCTTGTGGAGCTTGACCCTCCTTAACTATCTATGTAATCTCCTCCAACACCATAACCCTTCATACTATCTCTGTGCCTCTAATTCCAGCCTCTTGAGTATCTATCCTTTTAATTGATCTACCGTTGGTGACTGTATTTTCAGTTGGTGAAGCATCACAGTAGGATTCTCTCCCCATGTTTGTCCATCTCTCTATCCTCACTTCCCTCCTTTACAGTGCTCCTTGAAACTTCTCACTTTGACCAAATTTCCCTGCTGCTCAGTGTCAATTTCTATGTGATTTTGCTCCTCTGAGTTTTGCTATCTAAATGAAAGTTGTTTCAGTATCACTGTACTTACAGGAACCATCTAATGTCCTGGCCAGCCATTTGCCTTCAGGATTGTTGGTGATGCGGATGACCTCCAAGCACTCGCCCTGTTTACACGACAGTTCATTCTTTCCACCTTTGTAATCCATTGTCACCTTCACGGTCTGGATGACCTCAATTGGCCCGGAGAGCTAAACAGGAGAAAAGAGTTCCTTTAGGCATCCAGCCACTAGCACATTCTCACCTGGCAAGTGGAAGATGTGTAGATGAAGGAAATAACTGAGATGGAGTTTTCGGGTACATCACACACAATGGTGAAAATTGTCCAGTCTAAACCAACCTTCCCACGGTCACCATCCACAACAGAATAACAGCATTCACAGGCTGTCCACAGAGACCCAATGATGAACAATGAAATAAACTTCAGGTCTATATTCACCTTTCATTATTGGATTTGTTGTTATCCGTTCATGAGATTTGGGCATCGCTGGCTGGCCAGCATCTATTGCCCGTCCTTAACTGCCCCTTGAGAAGGTACGTTAAACTGCCTCTTGAACTGCTGTAGCTCATGGGGTATAGGGACATCCACAGTGCTGTTAGGGAAGGAGCCCCAGAATCTGGGCGGCAATGCCTAGTGGTATTGTCAATGGGCTGTTAACCTAGAGGTGTAGGTAATGCTCGAGGGGTCATGGGTTTGAATCCCACCATGGTAGAGGGTACAATTTGAGTTCAATAAAAAACTGGAACTAGGGACCGGTGAGTCAGACAACAGTGGAGGGTAAGTTGTTGGAGGGGATTCTGACAGACAGGATCTACATGCATTTGGAAAGGCAACAGCTGATTACAGACAGTCTGTATGGGTCTGTGTGTGGCAAATCGTGACTCACAAATTAGATTGAGTTTTTTGAAGGGGTGACCAAGAAAATAGATGAAGACAGAGCGGTGGATGCTGCCTACATGGACTTTAGCAAGGCCTTCGAGGAAGTTCTGCATGGTAGACTGTTTAGTAAGTTTAGATCACATGGGATCCAGAGAGAGCTAGCCGATTGGATACAAAATAGTAGGAGACAGAAGGTGGTGGTAGAGGGTTGTTGTAAAGACTTGGGGCCTGTGAACAGTGGTGTGTCACAAGGATCGGTGCTGGGTCCACTGCTATTGGCTATTTATATAAATGATTTGGGTGAGAAAATAGGAGGTATGGGTGGAAGTTTGAGGATGACACCAAAATTGATGGTATAGTGGATGGTGAAGAAAGCTATCTAAGAGTACAACAGGATCTTGATCAGCTGGGCCAGTGGGCCAGGAATGGCAAATGAGGTTTAATTCAGGTAAATGCGAGGTGTTGCATTTTGATAAGAGAAACCAGGGCAGGAGTTAACAAGGTGTAGAGCTGGATGAACACAGCAGGCCAAGCAGCATCAGAGGAGCAGGAAGGCTGACATTTTGGGCCTAGACCCTTCATCCAGCTCTACACCTTGTTATCTCAGATTCTCCAGCATCTGCAGTTCCTACTATCTCCAGGGCAGGAGTTACACAGTTAATGGCAGGACCTTGGGAAGTGTGTTGACCTAGGGCTGCAGGTGTATAGTTCCTTGAAAGTGGCATCACAGGTAGACAGGTTGGTGAAGGGGAGGCGATGGCCTTGTGGTATTATCGCTGAACTGTTAATCCAGAGATTCAGATAATGTTCTGGGGACCTGGGTTCAAATCCTGCCACAGCAGATGGTGGAATTTGAATTTAATGAAATATAATTCTGGAATTAAGAATCTAATGATGACCATGAACCCATTGTCAATTGTTGGAAAAACCCACCTGTTTCACTAATGCCCTTTAGGGAAGGAGAATGCCATCCTTACCTGGTTTGGCCTACATGTGACTCTAGACCCACAGCAATGTAGTTGACTCTTAACTGCCCTCTGGGTAATTAGGGATGGGCAATAAATGCTGCCAAGCCAGCGATGCCCTCATCCCGTGAATGAATAAAAAAGAGACGTTTGGCATGCATGCCTTCGTTGGTCAGAGCATTGAGTATAGAATTTGGGACATCATGTTACAGCTGTCTAAGACATTGGTTAGGCTACGTTTGGAGTACTGCATACGATTCTGGTTGTCCTGCTATAGGAAGGATATGATTAAACTAGAAAGGGTGCAACAAAGATCTACAAGGATGTTACCAAGACCAGTCCTGATGAAAGGCGTAAACCCGAAACGTCAACTTTCCTGCTCGTCTGATGCTGCCTGACCTGCTGTATTCCTCCAGCCCCACATTGTGTTATCTCTGACTCCAGCATCTGCAGTTCCTACTATGCCCTGTCACCAAGACTGGAAGATTTGAATTATAAGGAGAACTGGACAGGCTGGGATATTTTTCCTTGGAGCAGCTGAGGCTGAGGGATGACCATACATGAGTGGCATACATAAGATGAATAGCCAAGGTCTGTTACCCAGGGTAGGGGAGTCCAAAACTAGAGGGCATAAGTTTAAGGTGAGAGGGAAAAGATTTAAAAGGGACCTGAGGGGCAACTTTATCACACAAAGAATGGGGCATTTATGGAAATGACCTGCCAGAGGAAGTGGTAGAGGCAAGTACCATTACAATATTTAAAACACGTTTGGACAGGTACATGAATAGGAAAGGTTTAGAGGCACATGGGCCAAATGCAGACAAATAGGATTAGTTCAGTTTAGGAAACCTGATCGGCATTGATGAGTTGGGCCAAAGGGCCTGTTTTTGTGCTGTATGACTGTACGCCTCTATGACTGTATGATCGTGTGACCACTGTCATGTGTTATTTTAAAAAAAGTCTGGTTGACTAATAACTGTTAGGGAAGGAAATCTGCCATCCTCACCTGGTCTGGCCTAAGTGTGTCTGTAGACCCACAGCAAGATGGCTGAATGGTAACTGATCTCTAGGCAGTTAGGGATGGAAAATAAACGTTGGTCAAGCCGATGATGCCTACATCCTACTGAAGGAATGGCAATATATTTTCAAGTCAGGATGTTGAGTGGCTTGGTGGGGGTGGGGGTGGGTTGGAGGTCCTGCTGCCCTTGTCCTTCTAGATGGAAGTGGTCGTGGGTTTGGAAGGTGCTGTCTGAGGATCTTTGGTGAATTTCTGCAGTGCACCTTGTAGATAGTACACACTGCTGCTACTGAGCGTCGGTGGTGGAGGGAGTGGATGCTTGTGGATGTGATGCCAATGAAGCGGCTGCTTTGTCCTGGATGGTGTCAAGCTTCTTGAGTGTTGTTGGGGCTGCACCCATCCAGGCAAGTGGGGAGTATTCCATCACACTCCTGACTTGTGCCTTGTGGATGGTGGACAGGATTTGGGAAGTCGGGAGGTGAGTTACATAATGTGAAAGGGCTGATTGAGGAATGCAGTGATTGCTGTTTTCAACTAGCAAGTGGCCAATCCATGAAACAGTCTCCCTAGGTATAGTATTGCTTCATACAAACATATTTCTTTCAGCAAATCATTCTGGGCTATCATCTATGAGCCATGATGGGTTGTAAAGATAGCTTGGAAAGTACAGAGGAATTTGGCTATGAGTTCCTGAATACTAGGTATTTCTCTTACCTCATGTTGTAGCTAACTGTTTGGGATTGATTGCTAGGATGAGGCAACAACTCCTTTGCTATTGCAACATTTGCAGGGAATACAGAAGGAGATGGACCTGAAGAAGGGTCTAGGCCCGAAACGTCAACCTTCCTGCTCCTCTGATGCTGCTTGGCCTGCTGTGTTCATCTAGCTCTACACCTTGTTATCTTATATCGGACATGGACCTCAGTCTTTTTACAGGTTTCAGTTTCTTTGTTTCAAACTATGAGGAGTGATTCTGACAGAGCTGGTGGGATATGCAGCTCAGATATTCGGCACTTCCATTTATCTCTGAAACTCACGCTCTGAGCACAATTATTCACTGGGCGTGCACAATCAACCCTCGTTTTGCTGAAGTATTTATAAAAAAAAACACAAATACATTTCCAACATCAAGTAATGTAGTACACTCAGAGCTGAGTTGGCTGACTAATCACACTGCTTGAACGAGTCCTCATTACTGCTCTGGCATCATTAAATATAGCATTCAATAAGGAAGTAGAACTGTGCTTCCTATAAATGACACTGCTCTGCCCAGAATCACTTTTTAAACAAAGAAATGCAAATTCCAATCCTTTATAGATGTTCATGTAAAGATCACTATTGTTACCAGTTCCTAGAAGTTAGTAAACTGAGAGGCACACTCTCAGAATTAGCAGCAGGACATTTAGAAACAAGACAGTAGTTGCAGTGATTGGAACCAGATGGACCTTATTAATTATGAGGTCCTTGATTGGGGTTATTAACCTGGGCCAATCAGAAGGCCCTGGCTGACCAATATAAACAGGGAATTCCGCAGCTATATTTGGGCTTGGCTGTCCCTGGAAAAGGAGCAGGCGGTGTCCACCAACAATCTCGATGCCTTCAGGGAGAGGTGGCCACTGCAGGGTGTGGGGTGCTCTATCTCCCCTTCCAATTCCATAGGGATTTGATCCCTACCCTACCCTCACTTTTTCTTTCACGTGAACATTGCCCCTGCTAGGGCTCTGCTTGCCACTGGCTCCTTGGCCACGGTGCTGGGTTTCCTGGTAGTGGAATGTCGATAAAGTTTTCCACACAACTGGTGTTTTTGCTGTGTCTCACACATACGCATATGCAAAACAGATACTGGGGAAAATAAGCACTACTGCTATATGGCAGTAGTGTAGGGGAAAAAAAGAGAAAAAGAAAAAGATTATATAAACAGGGAATTCAGAATGTGCTCTGTTGAGGGGACTGGCTCCAAGCTGGCTGGTCACAGCTAGTGTACTATGCACGAGTAGATAAAGGGTGACTTAATGATAGGATCCTGGCCTCTGTGCAGTTATTTCAGTGGGTAAGTGTCCATGCACATTGCTGTGGATCTGGAGTCACATGTAGGCCAGAACAGCTGAAGATGCCAGATTTCCCTCCGTTAAAGGGCATTAGTGAATCAAATGGGTTTTTACAATGACAGTTTCATGGTTATCATTCAACTCCAGATTTTTCTTTTGATTGAATTCAAATTTTACCATGTGCCATGGTGGGTTTTATACCCAGGTTCCCAGAAACTTACTGGTCTCTGGATTAGTAGTCTCATATTAATGCCACTAGGCCATTGCCTCCACCGCCTGAATATAAGGTTATTTCCACACAATGCACAAAAGGCCTCCTCCTGTGCTGTGGAATTCTATGAGCTGTCCTTTTGTGCCCCTTGCAAATCATGGCTGAATGACCCACGAAAGCCTGACCCTCAGCAATATCACACTGTGCTGGGCTGAACGGGGTGAGAGCAGGACTGCTGCCCCTTCTGCTCCTGATCTAATGGAGTGGCCAGCAGTTCTGGCAAACCCAGCTGCACCAGAACCCGGTAATGGGCACTTTCAAGATGGCCACTAAGGTCCACACAAAGGCCAATCATCAGCGATATTCGGGTTGGGAGACATTTGGGCAGCCTGGGGAGGGGAACAAGTTAGGAGAGGTGGCAGATTTTGGAGGCTCAATGGGGAGGTGACATCAAAAAATAAGTGCTGTCAATGTGCAAAGGGAACCCCCTGCCCACTGTAGCCCCCCATTTATAAAAAAAATGTTTCCTCACTCCCACTTGCCTGTCTGTGCCAACTGTTTTATAGCATGGACAGTGTCAAATATAGGTCAGTTGACTATAAGACCATAAGATATAAGAGCAGGAGTAGGCCATTCAGGCCATTGAGTCTGATCTTCCATTCAATGAGGTCATGGCTGATCAACTCCACTTTCCTGCCCTTTCCCCATAACTCTTGATTGCCCCTTACTGATTAAAAAATCTGTGTATCTCAGCCTTGAATATACTTAATGGCCCAGCCTTGAATGCCGTCAGTGGTAAAGAATTCCACAGATTCACTCCCCTCTGAGAGAAGAGATTCCTCCTCATCTCTGTCTTAAATAGGCTGCTTCTTATTCTGAGATGATGCCCTCTGGTCCCATACTCTCCCACATGGAGAACTAGCCTCTCCACATCTCGTCAAACTTGTTAACAATCTCAATTGCCCATTAATTCATTATCTAAAATGGTGAACAGGCTGCCAATTTCAGTGCCCACCCTATTACAGTGACTGGGTCAGGAAGTGTCCTTGTATGTTAGGTGCCCTCACCCCTGTTAAAAACATGCCCATGCAGGTGATGGAGCGCAGCTCTATGGTTCTAGTACCAGTTCAATGGCCTGTACAGAGAGGAGCATGAATTAAGAGGTAGCTCATTGAGTCATACAGTCATACAGCATAGAAACAGGCCCTTCAGCCCTCCATGTCTATGCTGACCAACAAACGCCAAACTACACTCATCCCATTTACCTGCACTTGGCCTATAGCCTACTATACCCTGGTATTTTAAGTGCTCATCCAGATGCTTCTTAAATGTTGTTAGAGTACCTGCCTCTAGCACCCACTCCGGCAGCGCATTCCATATTTCTCAGCATTCAACCATCCTGTATGCCTTCTTCACCACTCTGTCTACCTGTGCTGATACCTTCCACGGTGTATGTGCTTTTCCACCTAAGTCCCTTTGTTTCTCTGTACTCCCTCGGGACTTACCATTCATTGTGTTCCCTTATTAGACCTCCCAAAATGTATCACCTTGCACTTTTCAGGATTAAATTCTATCTACAGTTGCTCTGCCCAATTTACCAGCTGATCAATATCAGACTGTAGCCTGAGACCATCTTCCTCACTATTAATAACACCATCAATTTTTGTGCCAGCTGCAAACTTACTAACTAAGCCTTCTACAATCACCCACTTGTCATTAGTGTAAATAACAAACAGCAAGGGTCCCAGCACTGATCCCTGATGTACACTGATAGTCACAGGCTTCCAATTACAAAAACAACGCTCCACCAATGCCCTTTGCCTCCAGTTTGTAAGCTAATTTTCGCTCTTACCTATTGGACCAGCCTTCCATGTCAGACATTGCCAAAGGCCTTACTGAAGTCCATTTAAACTATGTCAACTGCACTATCCTTATCAATATATTTGGTCACCTTTTTAAAAACAACTCGATTAAATTAGTCAGAGAGGACCTCCCTCTAACAATCTGTGCTGCCTATCTCTGATCTGTCCCTGCATTTCCAAGTGTTGATTAATCCTGTCATACAGAAATTTTTCCAAAAATTTGCTGAGTATGAGTTCTCTTTTAACACACGAGTTCATCAGATAGCATTCAAAAGGAATGATGTTCATGCCTTGAACTTTTTTCTCATTTCCTGCTCTCTCTTCTCTTTCTCTTTCTGCTCTTTTCTCTCTTGCTCTTGTCGTCGTTTCTCTTCCTTCTCCCTTTTCTTCTCTTGCTCCTTGAGTTCCTTCAGCGATCTGTTTGGACAGACAATGGAAAAGGTGTAGAAATGAATCTTGTAACAGATCCTATGAGCTGTCATTCAAGGGGTTCAAGAGAATCAATCCGGGAACGAATCAGGGGCAGGAATTGGACCATGGGCTGATGATCAGGGACCTGGTGACTGATGTTTTTGAAAGTTCCTGACTGAAAGCCAGACTATCACAGGCTAAGCAATGTCGTCCAGGCGAGGAGAGATGATGACCACCTCTCTTTAGGATGAGAGAGTTTAAAGCCTGGGGCGCAGTATGTGTCGGATTTGGGGTCTGAACACTGCAACACTAAATATTACAGTTCTGAGGAAGGGTCACCAGACCAAAAATGTTAACTCTGATTTTTTTCTCAACGGATGCTGCCAGACCTGCTGAGTTTTTCCAGCAACTTCTGTTTTCATTCCTGATTTACAGCATCCACAGTTCTTTTGACTTTTATCAAATATTACCCCATCATGAGACACAAGAGTATTTATAACAATGTCCTTCAGTGTTAGGCCTATGCAAGCAGTTCCATCAAAGAAATCCAATGGTGAATTTAAAAGAAACGCTTTTACCCAGAGAATGTGGGACTCAGTCCCACAGGGAGTGGTTGAAGTAAATGCTAGATTTAATTAAGGAGAGGCTAGACAAGCAGATGAAGCAGAAGAGGACAGAGGGTATATGATGGTAGATTCAGATGAGAAAAGATAGGAGGAGGCCGGAGTACGGCAGAAACACTGGCACTGATGGAGCTGAATGGCCTGTTCCTGTGCCATATAAAATTCCAAACAATCCTGTCATTCTATGATAGACCATTCTATCCAAAGGTAAAATAGTGAGAAATACAATGCTGGTCTCAGTGAAAGTAACTAGGAGGCAGGCAGATTGTTAGAATCGATAGAGTCATAGATAATACAGCATGGAAACAGACCCTTCAGCCCAAACTAGTCCATGCTGACCATGCTGCCCACTCAGCTAGTTCCAATTGCCTGCATTTGTTCCATATCACTGTAAACCCGCCTCATCCATTTACCTATCCAAATGTTTTTTTAAATGTTGCTATTGTACCTGCCTCAATCAATTTTTTTTGGCAGCCCATTCCATATACGCACCACTCTCTGCGTGAAGAAATTGCCCCTCACATCCTTCCTAAATCTATCCCCTCTCACCTTAAACCTATGCCCTCTAGTTTTCAGTTCCCCATTCGTGGGAAAAAGACGACATGCATTCATCCTATCTATGCCCCTCATGACTTTATACACCTCAATAAAGTCAACCCTCATTCTCCTACGTTTCAAGGAATAAAGTCCTATCCTGGCCAACCTCTCCCTATAACTTAGGCCTATTAGTCCTGACAACATCCTCATAAGTTTTCTTTGTACACTTTCCACTTTAACTATGTCTTTCCAATCACAGGATGACCAAAACTGTACACAATACTCCAAGTGCAGCCTCACCAACAACTGATACAACTGTAACATAACGCCCCAACTCCTATACTCAGTGCCTTGACCGATGAAGGCCAGCATACTAAATGCCTTCTTCACCACCCTGTCTACCTATAACACTGGCTGAATATTGACTGCATCAGCTTCCAAATCTCTCTACCCCCAACCTGTCCATCTTCCTACTCACCTATCCGCTCTACTCTTCCCACTGACCAACCACAATAACCCCCCACCTGCATCTGCCTATCTCCATCGCACCTCCCCAGCCCGCGCCCCCATTTATTTCTGGGCTCCCTTCCCCCACCCCAGTCCTGAAGAAAGGTTCCAACCCGAAACGTTGACGTTCCTGCTTCTCGGATACTGTTTGACCTGCTGTGCTTTTTCAGCTCCACATTTAATAACTCCAGCTTCCAGCATCTGCATCCTTACTGTCTCCAACCCATTGGGGTATATTCTCCTAACCTGATGTTCCCCTTGGACTTTCCCTCTTTTTGGACCTTATTCTACCCTCTTTCTTTCTATTCTACTTCTCCCTCTCCCTCCTATCTCCCCTCACCATGTATCTCTCCCTCTGATTTTTGTCAATGATGGCAGTGGGCTGGTTTTTTAACACGGTGTTGCGCTTGGTCTTTATAATACTGATCCCCTGGTCCAACTGCCACAAACTGAAATCTCACCACAGCAACTAGTTCAACTAAATGCACCTTGTTAGCATTACAAGAGAAATGCATTAAGCTACCACATTGGTGTAAAGATTTGAGACAAGAAGGTGCAGGGCTGGATGAACACAGCAGGCCAAGCAGCATCATAGGA